GGGGGGATATGTCCCCCCTGTCCCCAGTGGAAATTACGCCATGCGTGTGTGTGCTTCAAGTGCAATAAATATATATGCAAGTTGCAACACACACAGAGTAAAACTCTGGCCCTCATGTGTTGTATAGGCTGGCACGACTAGGCTGTTCAATGGGGCTGATGTGTTGTGTAGATTCTGCCAGAAGGAAAGGTTAAACTCCTTATGAAGCGCTACTGACAGTAGCAGTAGCTACTGTCAGTAGCTACTGCTACTGCTACTGACCATGCTACAGATGTTAGTGCAAAATCTACAGCTCCTCTACCACAACCATCAGGAACATGTGGACATGGAGAACTACATGAACTACATGTTGCTAAATCCACCGCAGAGAATAAACAGCAGAGCAACCAGGCAACCATGGCAACCATGCTGCTTTTGGTGTATTTTGTGGCGGAAGTACAGCGCCACTTACAGGCCCGGCATATGTACTACAGCGTCTCCAGCGGGTCGAGCGGTCTCGTGTGAAGGGACACGTTTATTGAGCTGTATCCGTGTGAACGGAAGACTTTTTTGATATCGAATTCGGTTCGTTTGCGTTTCGTTTGCATTCCCGTGTAAATGGGGCCTAAGGCGCTGTTTACATGGGAACGAAACGGGTTGTATCTGCTACTTTTCTCTTTCGTATAGCCCGTTCGTTCACACAAGGCCGTAACGGAACCGCTGAAACGGACCCCTCAAATGATAACGGATCCCAAGGTGGGTAGATCTGCGGACGGAACGCTCTGGGGGGCCAAACGGCTCCGTGTGTACGTCCTATACGATGATTTCCTGATAACGATGAAGCCATAGCCCCGCCTCTCCCCACCTCTGCTGCTCACTGCTGTAGCATGGTCAGTAGCTGAGTGATTCTACAATTTAGGGTACATTCCATGTCCATTGATGTCCATTGATGATAATTATAATTATTCTAACTATTTTCTTCAAAAATATCATATTTTGCCTATTATTGGAAAGCATGTTATAATATCACACAAACATTATGTGCATCCTATGCTTTATTTAGCTTGAAATGTGTCATGATGTTCTTAAATTGTCAGTTTTTGCTATGTCCGTTTTTCAGTTGAGGGTGTCTTGGATTCAAAATAATGAATAAAAACCATTAAAGTAAATTTAAAAAATGATTCATTTATTTAAAAGTCTAAATACTAAAGAATAATAACATATTTTTAATTGATTTCCCCCTTTAAATAATTTAAATATCTTAATATATGAATGTCCGCAAAAGTTCTGTCAACTATGTTACTAACAGAACTTCCCCCTTTAACTCAAAAATTGTTTGTCCCAATACCATGTCACCAGCATCACATGATGCCATGTTCCTCTTTGGCAGACATTTTGAACACACTGTGGTGATTGTCCTCTACATTTTTACAATATTTTATGTATAATAGCACATGGTCAATTAATATACTCATTAACAATCAACAATGTTACGTACATTGTTATGGTTTACAATTGTTTAATGATTTTAATTCAATTATATGTTCAAATGTGATGTTAACCTGTTCAAGAAAATGACATGTGGTCATCCAGGCAAGGCCTACCATTGAAATGATGGGTCAAAATAGGGAAATTGTCAACTAGGTTACCTGTCAACTAAGTTACCCAGTACTGTAATAACTGTAGTAACTTAGTTGACAGGTAACCTAGTTGACAATTTGTATGACATGTAGACGTCATTACACATCATTATCAATGGAATTTTGCACTTCTGCCTTGAAATTAACATAGTGCTGATGGTTAATAATGTGTCCAGTCAACTATGTTATTTGCGTCAAATGTTTGACTTTCATTGTCAACTATGTTGCACCTCATTTTTTCAAATTTAAAATATCTAAAATAGTGCTTCTGATATCCTTTATAGTATAATGTATATCTACACAGGTTGGAGTTTTACATGACATATCTTAAAACTATCAAAATGACCTGTATGGTAGTTTTATAATACAAAATATCCCTAAACTTAATGACAGTGCTGAACATATCACATGAAAAAACAAAATTTAATACAATTATTTTTTAAACTTTAAAAAATCTTTGGATATATGGTAGAATAGACTCAAGAGCCTTTCAAATTTGATTTTACTTGAAGTGCAGGACTTCATCAAATGATTGTAATGACATCAAGTTTGTCCGTAACATAGTTGACAAACTGAGTAGTGAAAACATCCTTTCCCTTAAAATAAAAAAAAAAATAAAAATGTTTAAGCTTTGCAACTAGTGGATATGTTACACTGAGGAATATACTAACTTGAACCACTGATTGTTCTATTGAGAAAGAACACTTTCTTTGTACTGTTTTGTTGATGTGAAATGCACCCTAAATTATAGAATCAGTCAGCTACTGTCAGTAGCTACTGCTAGTGCTACTGCTACTGACCATGCTAAAGATGTTAGTGCACAATCTACAGCTCCTCTACCACAACCATCAGGAACAAGTGGACATGGAGAACTACATGAACTACATGTTGCTAAATCCACCGCGGAGAATAAATAGAAGGGCAACCAGGCAACCATGGCAACCATGCTCGGGGGTCTTCTTCGCTGCTTTTGGTGTATTTTGTGGCGGAAGTACAGCGCCACTTACAGGCCCAGCATATGTACTACAGAGTCTCCAGCGGGTCGAGCGGTCTCGTGTGAAGGGACACGTTTATTGAGCTGTATCCGTGTGAACGGAAGACTTTTTTGATATCGAATTCGGTTCGTTTGCGCTTTTCGTTCCTGTGTAAATGGGGCCTAAGGTAGCTGAGAAATGGGTGTCAAAACCAATCACCAAACATTTAGACAAAGGTTTCGCTTCACTCCACCCAATGCAGTTTGGTTTTCTTGCTCACCACTCCACTGAGACAGCTAACTGTGTCTTTGTGGAAAAGGTTAAATGTATGTTGGACACGAGCCCATATGTAGGTGCTGTCTTCCTTGATCTCAGGAAGGCTTTTGACACTGTTGACCACCAAGTGCTCCTTACAAAGCTGACTTATTTAAATGTTTCTGCAGTTTCAATACATTGGTTCAAGTCTTACTTATCGAACAGAAAACAGTTGGTTTTGGTCAACGGTTCCAAATCCCCCTACCTTGTGAACCCTGTTGGGGTTCCACAAGGTTCCATTCTTGGACCGTTACTTTTTTCACTGTACATTAATGACTTGCCTAATGTATGTCCTGAGTTGAATGTACAAACACTGAAATAATCTCATCTTGTCTCTCAAATGCTTTGGACAAGGTTCAACACTGGCAGAACAATATTTGCTTACAGTTAAATGTAAAAAAAACAGTATGCATGATGTTCAGTAAACGACCAGTCAAAATCGAAGGATCCAACGTGTTTTTAAACGGAGCAGAAATAGAACTAGTCTCCCACTTCAAGTATCTTGGAGTCATACTGGACTCGAACTTGACTTTTAAGAAACATATTAAGAAAGTATCAAATACCATTCAATTCAACTTGCAACATTTTAAACAAATTAGACCTTTCTTAACTGTCAATGCTGCAAAGTCATACCTCCACTGTATGATTCTATCTCACATTGAATACTGTTTGACAAACTGGTCGTTTGCTTGTGCCACCAACCTGAAACCTATAGAACAGCTGTACAAGAGAGCTATCAAGGTGTTTGACAGAAAGCCAAATTCATACCACCACTTGAGAAACACCATTTCTTGAGTTTTGACCATTTTAAGTCTTTTAAAAGTATGTGTTTTTTTTATAAATGTTTACATGGACTGGCCCCCCCTCCCTCCCTTAGGGGAATTCATCCACAAAAAACACACTGGACGCTGAACTAGGTCAGAAACCAGAGGAGACTGTGAAGTCCACCGTAGACGGACCACTTTTGGACAAAATGTCCTCTCCATTAAAGGCAGCTCATTCTGGAACAGCCTCCCAACTGAGATACGGGATTGTCCCACTCTCAATAGCTTTAAAGGTCAACTCAAAGAATGGTTGAGAAACAAACAGATGTGCAATCACCGCTAAATCCACTTTAATACAGGGGTATCTTCTCTTGCACTTTAGGTATCGATGCTGCTATATTGTATTGCCATGTCATACATACTTGTGTATTCTGCTCTTGCTCTTTTGCACTTTTCTTGCATTTCATGTATTTGTATTTGTATTTGTATTTGCTATGTTTGTAAATTTCATTTTCTTAAATGTTTTATATGAGGGATGGAAAGTAGCTCAAAGCTAAATCCGGCATATTTACGCTTGGCACATTTATTGTAAGTGTTCATTGATGTGCATTGTCCCTACCAAATAAACGATTAAAATAAATAAAATGTTTTAGTTGTTTGTCTGTATTCGTTACTGCGCACTGGGACAGGGTTGCACTCCAAAACCTTGTTGTATATTTTTCTACGATGACAACAAAGGCTTTCAGCGTTAACTGTGTAATCGTGTGGTGTAATGTCTATGTAATGTTTATATGCTGATGATGATACTTCAGCTTTAACAGTTTATTGGGTTCCCCAGCTGCCGATATAGAACAGACATGTTCCAGTCACTGAGGACATCTGCATTGGAACAGTTCAGAGCATGAAGAACACGTGTGAAGAACCCATGTAACTGCTGACCTGTTCCTCACCTCTACATGTGTGTGTGCCTCACCTGTGTGTTTCCCACTGCTGTGTGGCACACCGGCAGCTGGCTGCAGTATTTAAAGAGCTGACCAGTGTGCTCACAACGTTGTGGTCTGGACTCAAGGTAAGTACACAACATGTGCCTGTTCATCACTCTGTTCCTTTATGACTGTTCCTTGTGTTTTTTTTATTTTATTTTATTTTTTATATATATCTGTTGTAATTTATTGTCTTTTATTGTGATTGTAGTAATGTGTTTTTTATTACATGTACAGCACTTTGGCTCGACCAAAAATCGCTTTTAAATGTGCTATATAAATAAAACCTGATTTGATTTGATTTGATTTGATTTATTTAACAACTAAAAACCCTCATGTCCACAGATGTCACACATGTGGAGTCTGCTCTTTTTCCTCATCGGAACAGCATATGGTAAATTGGATTTATCGATTTGCTTTCACTGAAATTAGATTAGTTTAGATTACTTTATTCTCATTACATAATGCAAGCAGAGTGTAACGAAATTAAGAGGGTCTAACCAGAGTGCGAACAGTCAGTTATATACACATCTATCAGCAGTCTACAAAATAAATGATACAAGTAAAGGTAAATAGATGTCAAATGTATAAATAAGAATAAATACACTGATCGTAAATACAGCAGTATATACTGTATTTAAATGCAAAGTAAAGGGGTCTTAGAGTTTGATTGGTTCAATATATAAGTAGCTCTGCACCGTGGTGTCGTTGTGTGCATGTGCTGTGTGAAGTGTTTTACTGGAGAACCATAATGGAAAAACGCCTTCAGGCTTTCATGTGTTTTTATTCTATGTAATGAGTTTTGTCTTTAAATAAATTCAATCAATCAAAGCTCAAACATGTCTGACAGTATCACAAACTGCAGCCTGGTCACTTCTTTATTAAAGCTATATAACAGTTCAATATGCAGGCCTAAGTGTCCATGTTCCTTATTGATACAATATTCAATCAAATGCAAATACTCTAAATGTCTTAAGGATTGCTTTTACACGTTCAGACACATTTGGTGTGTTTCCCAGAAAACTGGATACAGTCAAAATAAATCGAATCCACTTTAGACTGAACATGAAATCTAATGTATTTGTTTAATGACTTTGAATTTGTGATGTGTTATAGTTTGTGTTTTTGTTTTGTGTGTCTTGTATCTTGTTTTTACTTTTTGTTGTTGTGCTTTCTTAATTTAGTTTTAATATATTTTATCGTAAAGCTATAATCTGGTAAAGTGCATATAATAAACCAAAGGTATGTTTGAAACTTGTCCCTTTTAAATAACAATATATGAAATGTTTCCAAGATGAATGGTTTGCAACTTTCATCATCTGTCTTTTTCCTAAAGTTCTGTAGAAAAAGTCATTTCTGATAAAACAATGTGTCCGAGGTGTCAGGATGCATGAGGGGTTGTGGACCCTCACATGTGGTCAGGTCTCAGTTCTGTGTCCTGCGTGTCCTCAGCGGCTGAGGTCTGTTTCGATGGGCTCGGCTGCTTTGATGACCTGCCTCCATGGGGGGGCACCGCTCAGAGACCATCCTCCGTCCTGCCCTGGCACCCTGAGGAGATCGGCACCCGCTTCCTCCTCTTCACCCAGAAGGACCGTTACTACCAGGCAAGAGCAGCTTTCATTTCATTTAGTGTGTTCCAGCTAAGAAAGAGATGCTGTCTCTCATCCTGTGTGAGTATGGAAACACTATCTGTGGATCCTCTGGATCAGTGAATCAATACAGAGGGTTACCATTAGTTTGAGATACTATATAACCATTTCACCATGCCCACATGAACATTCAGATGGTTAATCAGGGCTAAAATGTCTCCTCTCCTCTAAACTGGCAGCCAATACATCCTCTTCTATAATGATGTCAACATGATGGATGAAAAAAACACATTCTTTGGATGATATCGTTAGACGATTAAAGTGGGTTACATTCTCAAGCTTCACATCAACTTCAATCAGTTGTTTTTTTCAAAATGTTGCTGTGGACTGTCCACTTCCTGTGGATGTAAGGGATCTATGTGGATACTTTAATATTGGGCAAGTGAGTATTGTGTTAATGAAGACTAAAGCTAGATACATTTTTCAATTAGTTTACCTTTGCTTTTCTTTTGAAACTGTCAGGAGATAAAGGCTGATAAAAGCATCCAGGCGTCAAACTACAGCGGGACGAGGAAGACCCGCTTCATCATTCCTGGGTATCTGAAGGAAGGAGACGAGGACTGGCCCCAGGAGATGTGTAAGGTGAGCAGGCCCTCCATATCAATATTATTCCAGCTTGTTAGAGTCATCATTTGCACTTGACACTCAAATCCTCTTTGATACTTTTCCAAGTGACGTGAATGATTTCTTTTATTCCTTTCAACTTTGTCTCTTTTGCCCTTACATTGTGAGTCTGTAAACCAGGTTGTTCTTGATGTACCGAGTAAACCCTTCACCAACTTATATTGAACTGTAAAGAGGATGTTCTATAAGCGAAAACACGAGAGCCCATTCTCACATATAGTGTGTGTGGTCCTCTCAGACAGACGACCCAATCACAGTGTGTGGCAGCAGATTCCAAACTTATGGAGTGTGTCTATACAAATAAAGGCCTTCAGAGCCTGCAGCTCTATTTGAACTCACCTGCTCTAGTGAGGCCTTCAGGGTGAGGTCACACTGCAAAACAGACTGTACTGATGCAAACAGTATAAACACAGTGTTTGCAGTGGTTGGCAGTTCATGAGGTCAGGGCAGGAAAATAAGGAACTGATCCCAAAGGATTGATTTTGGGACTCAAAACAGTTACAGCACTGATAATCCACAAAGTACTTTCTACCAGAGAAACAGTCCCTTTGAAAACATTCACACACTGATCTGTGTGATAGAGTAACATGCTGTGAACTCTACAAACACAATCACTTATATTGTATTTTGTTGATAACAGAAAAATAAGAAACTGATACTAACATCCAGTGGTGCACCTGGGCTGAATGCTATCAGGGGGGGGGGGGGGGGGGGGGGGGGAGCGCATGTGGTTAGAGAGTCCCAGCAGATGTGTGGGTTCTCAACTAGAAGCAAAGTGAGGCCACTGAGCACATTTCTGAAAGGTTGTGTACAGCTTTATCAACTAGTGTTTGTAAATGCAGGGAATAAAAACATTCCCTACATTTTTTATTAGTTCCCGGTCACTATCAGATCATCCGATTTAACTTTTTATTTAAACTACTTTAACTCACTTAGTATTCCTCTGCTTTTATTTACCTGACGCTCACACACCTCTGCTGCTGCTGTCTCCAGGCCATGCTGACCTGGGAGAATGTGAACTGCGTTGCTGTGGAGTGGAAGAAAGCCGTGAGGACTCAGTATGTGCAGGCTGCCAACAACGCCAGGGTGGTGTCCGCCCAGGTGGTCTCCATGATCACCTTCCTCAAGGTAACCTCAGAGCCCCTCACTAACTGTGCCTAATCCTTCTGAAAGGCAGAGACATTTTGGGGAATACTGCTTGTTGCTGTCTGACTCTGCAGAGGAACAGTAAACATGTTTTACAGATGACAGGGCTTGGTTTAGTCCTAACCAAGGTTATAAACATCCTGGACTGCACCTTAAACGGGCATTTACATATTCATATTTGCAAATGTTTTAATTGCTTTTTTTTGGTATTACACCCATATTATACTGTTATAACAGCCATATTACACGTTAAAACAACCCATATTACACCATTATTACACCTTTATTATACCAATTTTAAACAATTATAACACCTGTACTCTCCTTATAACACCCATAATAGACTGTTATTTCACCCTCATTCCCCCCCGTTATTACACTGGCATTACACTCCTATTACACATTTATAAACCCCTATTACACCATTACACCTCTATTACGCCCATATTATACCCATGTTACACCCAGGATATACTATCATCACACCCTTATTAGACGAGTATTACACCCATGTAAGACCAATATTTCACCCATATTACACTGTTATTACACTGTTATTACACTGTTATTACACTGTTATTACACTCATTTTTATGGGTTAAGGGTTAGAGGAGTATTCCAGCTGAGTTCGGTAGAGACAGATTTTAGTAAAGACTTTAATAATAGTTTCTACACGTACATACACTCATCCTCATACACATATGCTAAATTGTATATGAAACATTTTCATGCTGCCTCCAACAGCTAAAAGTGTCATCCCTATATCTAAATTCTCAGGGGGGGGACACGACACACGACACACAGTGTGTACAGTATCTCTGAATTGAACACACATGTTACAGAGCCAGTACAGGCAGCAGGCTGATAAGTTCCACATCATCGGACACAGCCTCGGAGCTCACGCTGCAGGAGCCGCCGGCAGCAAGATCCCCGGCCTCGCACGCATCACAGGTACACACACACACACACACACACACACACACACACACACACACACACACACACACACACACACACACACACACACACACACACACACACACACACACACACACACACGCACGCACACACACACTGCACACCTGCTGCAACACACATCACAGGTAACACACACACACACACACACACACACACACACACACACACACACACACACACACACACACACACACACACACACACACACACACACACACTGCCCACCTTTTTAGACATGTGCTGCAGTGATAGAGTCTGATAAATGACAGGGAACCCTCAGTGATTGAACACCTCTCTCTGCTCAGGACTGGACCCAGTTGAGCCGTACTTCCAGGACACTGATGCGTCTGTCCGCCTGGACACCAGTGACGCCACCTTTGTGGACGTCATTCACACTGATGGACTTCCTTTCAACTCCAAACTTGGTACACATCACTTTTCATTATGATGAATGAGATCAATGTGGGCAAAATTGCTTAATGTTTCTTTAAGTGTGTTTGTTTCATTTTTTCTGGTACAACAGTGTTCCCCTTTAAATCACATAAGGTCCATATAATAAAGAGGATAATGTACAGATATGAAGACTTTTTTTCTATGAAGTGTATTTCAAATATATGCAATGTTTTCTTAAGTTCCTTAAAGATATGATTCTTTTCAAATGTACCTCTTAGTTGTAAGGCCACAGATAAATGCAGCATGATAACTGTTGTTTAAAGTTGCATCATAGGGTAGGCATTAAGGGAACTTTGTGGCCTTATCATCTGTGTTAAATCTTGATCAAATCAATAAAAGAAACATATGTGTCTGTAAAACCATCCCATAAGGTCTGGGGATGTCCCAATCTGTCGGCCACATCGACTTCTACCCCAACGGAGGAGAGCTGATGCCTGGCTGCTCCGCCAACAAAGGCCAGCCCAAGGACCTGGACGCCATCTGGCAGGGTGAGACATACACATCTCACTAAACATGGAATCAAAATGGGAACTCAATGATCACAATGATGATTTTAGTATAATCAAATGATCAAACAAGGACTGTAGCACTTCACTCAAAGGCTAGGAAAGTGCTACATAAATATAGTTCTTTACTGTCATGTTGGCTATTTCACTTTTTTTACATTGTTGTGTGTGTGAATGCTGACTCAATTAAACCTACATAAGCTACTGTCAGGAAAGAGAAACAGTGCACCCCTCCCTGAGCCACACCTGGGAGAAGAGCCTGACAGAGAGCGTCAGGTAGCCGGGCCTTGACCCAGGGGTCCTGGTCTTGGCACCCCCCAACAACTATTCATACTCAGTACCCCCCTGGCCGAGTGTTGGTGTGCTGGAATCGCCTAGATGAGGTCTCTGACAGGTTGTTTGAACAGCAGTTCAGAGTGGCTGGCCTTCTTGGAGTCTCTGAGGCAGGGTCTCATGCTGGAAGGGAAACCAAAGGGGGACTATAGTTGTGTTCAATGCTGACATGGGCAGTGATGGAGAGAGCAGGGTGAAGGGGGATTGGAGGCAGGGCGGTCCTGATCTGAAACCAACTGCTGCTTTGCTGTTGGACTTCTGTGCTAGACATTGATGGACCATTAAAAGCACCATTTATGTGCGAGTGGCTTCACGAGTGTACAAGAGCGACCTAGGCCAGCCGGTATTAATGGACTGTGTGGTTGTACCATAAGATCTGCCGCCACATTAGCAGAGTTCTCAACAGATCACCTTATCAAGTTAGAGGAACATTTTATGCATTGAGTGTTGGACTAAAGGTTGTGCATAGTGCCAGCAACCCCAGAACCCACTGGTGGACACTGCGGTGAAGAAGGGGTCAGGCTGAAGAAGGGGGTCTTTCTGGCTGCAGGCCCCTGATGAACAGAAGATATTGGAGGGATGGATGTATCAAAGTAGTCTCAAATTGTATTGAGGAGACTCAACTAATTTAAGTAAGCTTCTAAAACAAGTTACCTTTCAGCATTTTTGAGAGTCAACATGTTCCTAGAGACCCCTCATGTTAGCCTCATAACCTGTGTTTATAAACAATGATAACCCTTGTATGTATTTTGAGGTGCTGAGCTGTTTCTGTTATTCAGCATACCCTGAGTACATCAAACATAATGCATTACATTACTTTTCAGCACCATAAATAACATCTTCTAAAAGGATCATACAGTTTAAAAAAAACGATTTCTTAATAAAGGATTAGGTTTATTGCAGTTTAATATTGTCGAATTAGACCGTATAAAAATACAACAATGACTCATTCATCCTTTTTCATCTACCATGCAACTTACAGTGCAGAATCCCCCCCCCCCCCCTCTCCCTGTAATATTGGAGTTGCCCCAATGGAAAAATCGTGAAGAAACCTCAGGCAGAGTTATTCCTGCAGGACCTATCTGAGCAAATATTTTTCTGATATGACGACGGCCTTCTTTTGAAATGTGCCGCCGAGCAGCAGGCTCAAGTAGCAGCATTGGTGCAATGCCCGGGTCTGGGGGGGGGGGGGGGGTTGGCACAGCTGAATCTTCCACTTTTGATCCTATAGATATGATGGGGAGAGGGGGAGCAGGGGGAGAGGGGGGAGCAGGGCTGCATAGCTGGAGGTGTTGGAGCGCCTGGAGTTGGCCCTCACTGAGAAACAACAGAAGCTGTGACCTCTCTCTCTATCTGTCTGTCTGTCTGCCTGTCTGTCTGTCTGTCTGTCTGTCTGTCTGTCTGTCTGTCTGTCTGTCTGTCTGTCTGTCTGTCTGTCTGTCTGTCTGTCTGTCTGTCTGTCTGTCTGTCTGTCTGTCTGTCTGTCTGTCTTGTCTGTCTGTCTGTCTGTCTGTCTGTTTGTCTGCAATGTATAATGACCCTGGTCAGAAGGTCATGAGTTCATAAGTAGCTATCTGAAGTTCAATAATTCTACATTTACATCTCTTTTGTTATTTCTCTGTACCTCACCCGCTTTTACCTCACAGTCAATCTCACTTTTTCTCTTCCTCCCTTTCATCACCTGTCCAATCGTTTGCCAGGTACCAAGAAGTTTGATGACTGCAACCATGTCCGATCCTACGAGTACTACATCGAGAGCATGGTGAAATCCCAAGGCTTTGTAGCATTCCCCTGCTCCGACAAGGACAGTTTTGATGATGTAAGTGATAGTTCAAATAGTCTATTTACACATATACACATATATTCTTATTTATTTGATCCCAGACCATGATCCTTTCCTGTACCTAACCAAGCACTTCAATTGAAAACATGTTTAGATCTGCGATTCTCTGATGGTCAAATGTAATTGGGGATGATTGTCCAACAACCTTTCCTGTTGTTTATGTACAGGGACACAAACACAAGACCATACCTAACACTACAACTACTAAACATATATCTGGTTTCCATTACTTAGGGTTTTGGTCTTAGCTAGGTCTTTTTGGATTGCATTTTGCCTTGACATTGATCTTTGGAGGAAGGATTATAGAAATATTGTATCTAAGTAACAGTAGCAGTACCAACTGTGAAAATACCTTAACATTTTAAAACCCTTCCTTCAATCCTATACTTGATTTAAATTGGTATTTGGTATCTAAATACACTTAACTCTATAAATGGCTAAGGCAGATTACATCTATTATATTGTGAAACTTTTATGTAAGTATGTTGTGTGAAAACTCTATCTGCGAAGTCAGAGGGTCAACTCCTCTCAGGCAAATGGTTCAGCAAAACTGCAATATTCCCTACTTAAATGTAGTGTGGATGTATACAAATATTGAAGTAAAACAAAATCAGTTTGAGCTCCTGCAGTTGCCTACATACTGCACCTCAGGACCAATATGCTGCACAGGAGAGGAACAAGGAAATCATTTTGACGTTGTAGATCCAGCCTCAGTGCCTGGTCAGAGCAGAAGATGATCTACTTATAGCTAACAACATGCTATGGAGCTGCCTACATGCTAGCACTCGCCCACCACAATAGCAAACAAGGTTAGCATTCTTGCTAACTGTTTCAGTCAGTCGCTGCATTATTGACATCAAACCACACCACACCATGCTCCAACAGAACAGCGTTATATCAGCTTGGATTGAGCCATACAGCTCAGGTTCAAAGGTCAAAAGCATGTCAAGATGCACCAGACGATCTGCTCGGATATACTCTCCTTCACAACTGAATCCACAAGATTAGGTGGTTCAATTGAAATGAATAATTTCTTTGTGTCATAAATGCTGATGTAGATGTTTGCCTCCTGATGTAGAATTATTTTTGTGTCAATATTTTCCAACAGTTTGGTGGAGGGACTTATGTCTGCATGTTGTAAGACAGTTAGATTCGTACATCACAATGGTGTTTAAAGCTTGTGATGGTACGAGCAGTACAAGAGGAGCTGAGCGGCATCTTATGTCCTCAATTGAAAAAGTGACTGGGGGGGGGGGGTGGGGGGCATATCTCCACCATCACAGCATGTGTATGGGCTGCCACCTGTTGCTGTATGACACTGATATGGCTGTGAACCATTTCTTTGGTTTTAGAAGTTGATTCGGCAAGATTGGATTTTTGTTGCAGCTGAGGGGGCGATATAAATGGGCTTCCCTCATGTCTTCCACGGGGAGGGTTTGTATCTGCAGCTGTTGGTGTTAATGACAGTTTATCCCTGCTTTGGACACATGTCCGGATCAAAGGAGGCCGGGGGAGTGCCGAGCATGACCTCATATGACTATGTCCCTGTTGAGAGATGACAGCACCTCCTTGTCACTCACCTCGTAAACGCTCTCCTGTCTGCTGTTGTTCCTGCAGGCGGGGCTGACAGCCACAAAGTCAGCCTGTTCCCACACACTAACTTACCGAGACCAGCACCTCTCTCCACCTTCATTTATAAGGTGGCAATCTGTAGCATTTTGAAGGAGTATAAGGAGGAAAATCTTGTTGGGTTGTCACTTTTTTCCTGAGTGTTCATTGACAGGAGAAGAGTGATACGCTGCATCACGGGGTGAGCTCATTCTTCACACCTCGCTGTGTCCTTGTCTCCACAGGGAAAGTGTTTCCCATGTGCAGACAACAAGTGCCCTCTGATGGGCTCCCATGCCGACAGGTTCACTGTGACTGATGGCGTTTCAAAGAGCAAGTACTTCCTCAAAACGGGCAGTTCAAAGCCCTTCGGCCGTAAGTACCCTGCCCCCCCGTCACTGTGCCTCACACACAGGCTCTTGAAGATAGACATTTTTCTTTAGGCTCCATTTTTTACCTTACTAGTTTTAAAAATCCTTAGACACTGTTAGAAATGCATTGTCATCTATTAAAACAGAACCAACGCCCTGAAAGGTTCACATGTATAAGTGCTGGGAATTTCAATCAATATACATCCATCTGCGATATAGTATGGATATCAAAGTTCCAGATTTCAGGGTTTTTACACAGGTTGTGTTCCAAGATATTGAGGGAAATGTTAAAATAATTCATGTTAATAGAGAGCACCTACAGCTATAGTTAATCAGGGGGAAACTAAACGTAACCTTGTTTGATTTGTTTTAATGCAGGCACAAAATCTATGATGTCATGATAATATTACCTCATAAAAAAAGCATTCGACAAAAACTTAATGACACAACAGACACGATCCATCCTGATTCTAATCATGAGGCCGTTGCATTTTATGATCTACATAATGATTGATTGTTCTTATTCCTGCAGAAAACTTGTAAAATACTTTAATTATTCAATATTATTTTTTAATTAAAATGTTCTGGAGTAGGAATCTGTTGTTTTGTTAATTGTTCTGAAAAACAATTATGAAATGAGTTTGTAAAATTGTTGTAACACCACTTTGCTCTGTGTACCTGTGCAGATATGGTACATTCCAAACCTGAGCAACATAAGTAACAGTACAAATAATTTAAAGATATCTTATCACTTTGTTTTTTTCAAATCCGGACCCATGGAAAAGGATGCATGTGTCATGTGACAGTACGCTGGAGCCATGGTGACAATGTGACTCTTCTTCCTATAGGTTACAGCTACAGGGTGAAGGTGACCCTGGACGGCCCCAGCTGGCCCAACCCTGGCTTCATGTTCGTGGCCCTCTCTGGGGACAACGACAGCACCAAGGAGCACCAGCTTTATGTGTAAGCTCATTCTAACATGTGACGTCACTGATAGTGGTACAGTTGCAGAAGTGGGCTTTCCTCTTGTCCAGGATGTTGACTTTGTTTGACCAGGCCTGGGACCTTGAACAGCCGTAGTTCCTCTTATCAGACCATATGACTTTTTTTAGTATTGTTTTATTACTAACACACATTTCTCTTTACTTTTTTAAAAACAAACAGTTTTCTTTCTTAACATTCAGTTACAAAGTCACTCTATCACCCAACTAAAATGCACTACACTACAGGATCGACTGAAAAAACTGAAACTTGACTTTAATTAAATGTATTATGTCAACACATTTCACTTGACTGTATTAGTTTAGTTAACGGTAGGGTAGGTAATTTTGGAGAAACCAGCTCGAGATCGCTAGAATTTGAAAATACACAGCCGGAAAAAATCTGCCACTTCCTTACAGAGCCCCTCCTCCAACACACACGAACGCGCACATGACCAATGAGGGCACGAGATAAGTTTGTGCACAGATGGAAGGCTGACAGGCAGGTAGGCCATCCAGTTATTTTAGCCGGGCCGGCTAAAATGATTGGTCGTGCTTTTTACAGTACTACGGCTTCCACAGATGAGATATTGTTATGGATTTTTTGTCAAAGCACTTAAGATATTCATTGCTATCGGGATGTTAAGAGCATTCCATGGAATATAACAAAAAGTGTATCTCGAGCCAGTTTCTCCAACTTACCTACCCCACCTTTAAAAGCAATAATGTTAAGTTGAACATATTTAAACTTAATATTATTGACTTCAACTAACCTAATACAGTTATGTGAAAATTGTTGACATAATACATTTAATTAAAAAAGTCGACCTTAGTTTTTCCGTGTAGACAGATAGGTAGAAACTTTCTTTATCAAATGGTTTTGTCACAGCAGCATTTTGACACTCATTGTAAAAATAATTACACCATTTATTAAAGTAGAACAATATTTCTTCAAAATAGAATAAAATACAAATAAAATAAACATTAAAAGCAAATATAAACATATATACAGTAAACAAATACTTATATCCAGAAGGGTATCCACACTATACAATATACAGAATACATTAGATACATTTAACATCTTGCCAAGGACAACAGTTGAAAACTAGAGAATGCAATTCCTGAAGAAATTGCTAGTGGGAATGCTTTATGCTGAAAGTATGACACTAAACTGCTATGCTGAAATGTAATGTGTAAGAAGAAAGTGAAGAATTTAGATTGAAATGATACATGAACACTGGGGGCTTGAATGTGTGATGAGAGAAGAAAAGAAAGTAAAAAGGCTTGGAAAAGCAGCAGAATATTTGAAATGCAAACTTTTGAACTAACTTGATGGCGAATGATCTGTCGCCATGCCAACGGCATTTGATGACATCCCATAATACGCTTAGATGTGTTGATGGCTGCATCGTTACCAAACCTGTGAAGTTTTGGGCCATTTGGAGCATTTTCACTGAAGTTATGAGAAAACCATGTTTCATGGCGGGCATTGTGTTGCCATGGCAACGGCATGTCCCGTAGATGTCTTCACGGCTGGACTGTTAGCACACATGTGAAGTTTGAGCACTTTTTGAACATTTTCATAGGAGTTATAGCGACATCATGTTTTATGGCGAGGGATGCGTTTCCATGGAAACGGCATATGGTGAGATCTCAGATTTGGCGTAGAGCTGTTGAGGCATGGACCGGTGATATACAAGCAAAGTTTGGGGACGATTGGACCGTGTCCATTGGAGTTACAGCGACATCGTGTTTCATGGCGAGCATTGTGTTGCCATGGCAACGGCATTTGAAGAAATCTCAAAACTGTCTCGTAGATGTCTTCAGGGCTGGACTGTTAGCACACATGTGAATTTTGAGCACTTTTTGAACATTTTCATAGGAGTTAAAGGGACATCGTGTTTTATGGAAAACAGCATATGGTGAGATTTCAGATTTGGCGTAGAAACGTGAAGCATGTCAAGGAAGTTGAGTATCTGAAGTGTAATTTTCGTGTACTTTCAGGTTAATAATGTGGCCTTTTTGGCAGTTTAAGAAAGGTGTGCGGCTGCTGCTGTGAGGAAATATCTGCCTGAAATTACAATGGGCTTTAACGGAGACATGTTGAACGTTTTTGTCACTTCATGCCCTCAAGAGGCATTTTGTTTAATTATTTTTGCTTAATTATTTGTCATTTTTCAAGCTACGAGATGTTTTCCTACGTTTGTCATGAAAAATTATGTCTCAAGAATGTGGGGTTTGGGAATTATGGCAGTTTTAAAAAAAAATATGAAGGCAAATTTCAAGATTTCTTACCCTCGAGCTGTGACATCACGCACTCTAGTTAATGTTAAAATCTGAAGAAAACCTCTTTAACAAGGTCTGAACAATGTTTAATATCTCTAAAAGTAAGAATCAGATTTAAAAGTTGTGTTACACGAATAATGTCAGAAAGATGTGTAACATTTTAAAGTTGGAATGAGGTTTCTGAGTGAAAGTATGAATGAACAGTTAGCAGTTGAAGTCGCATGAAGATTTGTTGAAGTCTGAAGAATATCTCCATTGACTTCAATGTTAAAAATGTGATGTATTATGGGATGTATCTCTGGAATTATGAAAGTTCTGAATGAGAAAAGTAATAGCAGTCGATTCCCGACCGAGCTGAACGCTTTGATGTTTGAACGGAGTTTCTGCGATGTTGAATGTGGGAGGAGAAGACGGACAAAATAATTGGATGGAATAATAATAAACTTTTTGTCCGTAGCATAACATATAGCCAGCAGGCTAATTCAGTGGGAATGCTGATGCAGCATTCCCACTAAATTAGCCTGCTGGCTAATACTGGCTCATTTACAGCAATGTGGATTCATGTGCACTGTCCTTTAAATACATTTAAAAAAAGAATAAATTAAAAAAAGAGATGACTCTCTAATAGACCAATCTAGAGGGAATGAGAGCACTGACAACATCTGTCTCCAACAGAACAAAACCAAGGGCTCGGAAAAGTGAAGCCAACATAGAAGAGCTTGAACTGCATCCCCTCTAATACCCAGCAGGGGGGGACTGCACTGGTTGCAATACAAAGTCTGATTTAGATCTAGTTTAATTATATTTCAATAAAGCTTGATGATAATTGTATATAGTATGTTCCCATTTAGAGTTGAATACTGTAGTCTATAAAGCAGGGCATGCTTTTCGTCTTTTCCTCCCACAACACAACCCCTCTCAGAATGTTTTCACTTGCTGAATGTTATTGGTGATATTTTGGTCACAACATGGTGACAGCAAAAATGACAAACCAGAGGCTTCAAATCTGTAGTCGCAAAACCGACAGGGTGTGTCAAGTGACTTTGTCTACTTCTTTTATACAAAGCTCTATACTACTATTTTTAGAACACAATGACTTCCACAATTAATAAGGACTAATCAGTCACGTTCTAATATGCTTCAATAGGCTTTTTGTATAGTCATTCTAACAGAGCATAATTCAACTATAAAACTATAATGCAGAACAAAACTCTGATCATGCCCTGACAGTCTTCTGCAGATATGTCCACACATCCACAAAGGGACAGACATCATGTGGACCACGGTCCTAAACGTATCAACTATATGAGTTAAGGAGAGAAAAGTGGAAGGAGAAAGTGACACCATCCTGGGATGAGCATTACATGACTGTGACTGGGAGACTCAAACAGTGTGCATCACATTGATTGAAGGCATCCTCCCTATGTACCACTTGTAGTTGTTTTTAATGGCAGCTAAGGTGATGGTCAGTGCTTATCCCGACGTCCAATATTCCAAATGTTTGATATTGAGGTAATCCAAAAGTAACGGAAAGAAATCAGGTAAGATTACTTTTTATACTCAGAATAGGTTACTGATTACATTTTCTTGCAAGTAACTGGTAATTGAAACAGAAGACATTTGAAAAGCCCCCTCCCAACCCTGGTTACTGTACAGCAGCTCCACTGCCCCCTCTGTGATGGTGTTCGAGGAGATATATTTCAGAGTATGTTTTGATCTGTTGTGACCTCTCTTCAGGGGAGCGTTGGTGTCTGGGTGGACCTACGAGGTGCTGCTGGATGCTGAGTTGGATGTGGGGGTTGTCACAGAGGTGACGTTTCGCTGGTACAATCACATCTTTAACCCCATGGCACCCAGGTATGGTGCGTCCAAGGTGGAGCTGCAGAGAGGAAAAGACAACATGATGTAAGTCAGATTCTTCTATACATAAAAACCTTCAGGTGGCACTCCTCACACTTTGAGAGGAAATCAAACACACCTACACATTGATATATTGTCATCATCAGACATGTTATTGAAATGGTGGCTGTAAGGAGATGGTTATAAAGGCTGTATATTACATTTTGATTAGATACATATAAAATGTTTTTAATTAACTCTTTATTAGTTTGTCAAATTATTTGTATGAGTTCATTTAGAGCTGTGTTACCTGGTTAAATAAATGGCTGTCCTTAACCTACGTAAGCCTTCATCTCTTTTAACTGAATATTGCTATGCGGTACATAGAACATTACACACACACACACACACACACACACACACACACACACCCACACACACACACACACACACACACACACACACACACACACACACACACACACACACACACACACACACACACACACACACACACACACACACACACACACACAGCTCATCAGACCAGAGAGAGGTTCAACTCTCAATTAGCTCTACAGGAATTCACTCAGACTGAACTGGATTAGAGTTACGTCAAATCTATCAAGACACAAATCACAATCTAATGTATCCATGTCTACCAGCTGGAGTCTACCCAAACAGAACTCATTGTTTTTTAAAAACATGTCATCAATGTGAAATCAAGTTTATAAGCAATTTTCATGAAATCAGGGAAATGTTACAGTACAGTAATTATGCCACATCAAGGTGGAACGCTCTTCCCACAACTGTAAAGGAAAGTAAAACTATACTTACCTTCAAAACCTCTCTTAAAGAGCACCTTCGGGGGAAAGCATTGCAAAACTGGCCCCGGTAATGGTACAAATCTCAACCTGTCGTACAATGGACAGCTTCCCCCCCCCATCTATGTATATACTCGCATTTTAGACTCTGTTACTAACTGTATATCTGTAGACTTGGTATGTCTTAAATGTCCGGTTAGGATGTATTAGAACGAAATCTAAAATGAAAATTGTAAATAAGCCATCTGTATGTAAAAAACCACCTGTATGTAAATTGTAAATAAGCCATCTGTATGTCAAATATGTCTTATATGTCTTAAATGATATGATGAATTGGAAATGGGGGACCCTGATGTAAACAAGACGAAAGTCTTTCTCTGGTCTGCATCCCCTTAACAATTGTATGTTTTGAGCTGTACTGTACTGTACCCAATATACAAGCTGTTAATAAACTTTTCAATCAATCAATCAATCAAACAGCAGTGGTGCTGTACTACATTATGTGTCATGGACTGCCTTTAGCCACTAGAGGGCAGCATGAGACTGTGTGTAAGGTTTTCCAGTGCTGGTGGGGGGGAGAGTACATAGAGAAGATTTCTCCTCCATAGTCTTTACTTTCATATCCTTCCATTTATAAATAAACATATAGTGATGGCAAACAGATTTGACTTTGACTTTAAACTTTATATACAAACCAGATGTTTTTATCATTTTTGGAATTCTACGTTTTAATATAGTTTGCCTTGTCGGCCAAAACAGATTTCAAACAATGAAGTGTTTACTAGGATTTTAATTTGAGTAAGAGAAATTCTGCTGTTTTGACATACTTGTATGCAGTAGATTAAAATGGATACTTAAACCAATATATGTATTCACATTGTGTTCTATGCTGTTTCACTCTCTCTCTCTATCCTTCCTTCTTTGCTTCTTTACAGCGTCTCCTTCTGTGGTACGGAGAACGTGAAGGAGAACGCCGTTCAGCATGTGCTTCCATGCCAGGCCTAACCAGGCAGGCTCTCTCAATAAAGATACTCTGATACACTCAGACCTCTGCATGGCTCCTTCCTTTGTGCTGCTGTGCAGACTGTCATATTGTTCTATTGAGATCACACAATGAAGGGAGCGGAGAGAGGCAGAGGATGGTGCGGATCAACTGGAACTCTTTGAAATACAGAGACTCAAATGTTAACTGAGAGCAAGTGGTCATGGGCCGATGTCAAAACCCAAACTAGTTTTCTTACAGCATATTTGTATTGAGATAAGATAAGATAAGTGGACCTTAATGAATCCCCGTAGGGACATTCAGGTGTCATAGCCACATCAGAATTAGACAGAAACACAGATAGTACACATGGAATATATATACACGGGCATAATAAGAATAAAAGTAAAATAAAAATAAAATTGAACAAACATGTATTAACAGTATAAATAGAAATAAGAAAATAACTTGGTTAAATCGTTATCCGGTAAATGTACATATATTCAGATGAGTGAGCATGGTTAAATATATATACATTTAAATGTATTTTCCTGAGACATAAGAACTTATGAAAGAATCAAATATTTAAAGTTGCGGCCTTTACGCAGATAAAATACTTAGTATTATGTACTGGGTTCTTACCCAGTGGTGGAAAGAAAGTACATTGACTCAAGTACTGTACTTCAGCATACATTTGAGTGTACTTTACCTCAGTATTTTTTTCCTCTTCTACTCCATTTTTCTACTTCACTACAAAACAAAGGGACATTTTGTACTTTGAGAAATGTAGTTACTAGGTACTTTATACATTGATATTTTCTTACACACAACACTTGTGTAACATGATGCCATCCAACATTATATTAAAATACCTAAAACAATACAATTACAAATTAATTTGCAGCAATTTTGCACACTTTTTGTGTCATTTTTTGTTAAGTAACATTTCACAGTTTCAACCTCTCAAAAGTGAGACTGAAAATATTTGAATATTTTGGATTTTATTTGAATAATTTAAAGTATTTTCTGCATTAAGTAATTTGACTCCTAATACCTAAGTACATGTTCCTCTTCATACTTAAATATCTTTACTTACGTACTATTCTCAATGCCGTGTAATGGACTGTTTTTACAGTAAGGTATTAGTACTTTTACTTGAAGGATCTGAATCCTTTTTCCACCACTGGTGAGTGGGTCCTGCTTTACCTCCATCAGCAACACCATGTGGGACAGAACTCTGCAGGGTGTCCAAACTACGGCCTGAGGGCCAACTGTGGCCCGTGGTCTGTTTTTAATGGAACATGGCCCACACATGAAACCTGTGCTTGTCTTATATTGTACTTCTAAAATAGATATGTAAACATATATTACACAGTATTCATGTGTTATTTTGCCCACTTTTCAAATACATTCAGTCAATAAAAGTTGAAGACATGTTATAACAAATCTTAGTTATTTGCATTATTTGCATTATTTGCATAACAAGCTTGAAATAGACCCTTCCTATTTCCACTTATTATAAGCAGTCTGAGCTTCTGTTTTAAGGCTGCCAACAAGATAAATGAAACCCTCTGTGATGGAGGCTGTGTTTTTCATATATTTAATTATCAAGCAAAAATGTACCTACTTTTGATTGATTTTGCAAACTTATCACTTCACTTATGAGGCGATATACCTCACCTCTAGTGAGGGGCCCCGCCCTTTGTGTGTTTTTCTGTATGTGGCCCTCAGTGAAAAATGTTGGACACCCCTGCTTTTTTAAGACGAACATACCAAGAGACAGAAAGCCACCACACAGAGATGCCCAGAGACTCAGAAGGCTGCAGAGATCTGTGAGCTCGGACAGAGGGCATCTTTGAGTGTAAGCCTACAATCTCCATTCATCATTATTACATTTTTATGGACTGAGAACTCACATAAATCACTTTAAACCAATCCCTGACAACTTCATTGCTAATTATAGTCCCCCATTATGTCAGTGTTACTACTGTCACTTTAACTAGAGCAGCAGAGGATACTTCACATGTCCAACTGTTAGCCTCTTTCCTCTGCACAAAGCTAACTGTTCCTCTGCCACAGCCTGTCAGGACAAGCAGAGGGTAAACATTACCCTTGTTAATGATGAGAGACATCAGGCTCCGTCTGTGCGAACACAAATCAACATGGATGACATGTTGAGATCACTGCGTCTGCAGAAAGACCCGGACAAAATCATGTCTAATGTGTCACATATATCTGTAATTCCAAAAGGCCTCTACATGTACGTGTGTGTGTGTGTGTGTGTGTGTGTGTGTGTGTGTGTGTGTGTGTGTGTGTGTGTGTGTGTGTGTGTGTGTGTGGGTGTTTGTGTGCGTGTGTGTAAAGGCAAAGCACTTATTAATCTGTCCGTGGCCTTTCGCTGGCTTATGAAGTCCTGATTGTGTGTCATTGTTTTGGCTTCATTTATATGAACACACACCCCATAATCACGCTCGCAAATATACGGCTTTAAAAAGACGAGCTGCCATTTTCATCATGGCTCTAACAAAGTGTATTTGAAATCTCTCTGACTTCCCCTGAGCTGAGGCATCAGGGCTCACACAATACCAATCAGAAGAGAAATCTCTCGGCTTCAAAGCTTCAAGCTTGACTACATTAATAATATTAATAAAACAGCAAATTGAATGTGTGGGCTAAGAGGTGGGGGGAGAAAGTGTCTTGAAATCCTCTAAAGACAGCCGTCTTTGTCTCTGACTCTTGTTTCTCTTTTCATTATTGGCTCATTGAAAGTGAAGGCTAATGACAAAATAGCGGGCTAATTCCTGTAATTATGTGTGTTTGTCAAAGGAAATGTGCGAATGACAGCGCTTCTCCTTCTTCTGATCTTTAAGCCAGTAGCTTTGGGGGTGGCATTGTTACTAACAAAGCATTTGAAGACAGGTCATGAATTAGTGAGGTATACATGTAGGTGGCAGCAGAAACACAGCTCCCCGGGGGAAGCTTGAAAAACAAACTTAACCTCTGACCTTTAGCTTCATTGTATTATAGTCAATAATAGTTGTGCATGAACACAAGTAAAATATTTACATGCCTATCACAAAGTTGAGGCAAAAACTGGAAATGAATGTCCGACAACAAGGACACAACACAAATGTTACATTATGGGATAGAACAAAAGAGAGCTGAGAGCAGCGGAGAGAACCGGCTCAGGGTTCCGAGGGTTCTATTGTTCCGTGTCTCTCTGAAGCTGCACAGGAAGACGGTTTAGTCTGTTTGACCTCCGTAGGAAAACTATTTTGAATACCACAATATTTTTAACCTTCATAATAAATTGATTCAGCAATAATGTGAGAGTATACAAAAGAATGCATTATAGTGAGCATAGAGGTTGGATAGAGGCTTTTTAATTAGTAGAAAACAGCTGATACTCAGTTTGTGATTCCATAAATGCTTGAGTTTTTGTATTATTTGTAGTAACCCAATTATTGAGTTGGTCACAGCAGCTACGTGTCAGTTTGTGTCTAATTTAAGAATTGCCAACATCCAAGGACCAGATAGAAAAAAACTTTCCAAAAGCAAATGTGTCTTAATTTGGAGAGACAAACCAATTCTCTAATACTGAAAGATATTTGTGTGTTTATTTCATATGCACCCTTTATTCATTGAATTTTGAAAATGTTGGTTACAACGCTCAATGATTTCTTGGATTTCATGCAATACGAAATTGTAAAAATACTCATGTAAAAGTCCTGCATCTTAAATCTTAAAGTGGACCTATCATGCTATATTTTAATAATATAGTGTAGGACCATACCTATATAAGGCATATTTATACTTTTTTTTTTTCAAAATACCAAACAGATCATGCATTTTAGCCATGCCTCATTTTGCTCAATTCTCACTTTTTTAGCCCTGTTTTTGCAAGGGCTGATTCTGTGAGAACAGCACCACCTACAGGCCTGGCATATGTACTACAGGGTCTCCAGCGCTTTCGAACGGCAATGGCCGTGGCTGTCTCCTCCTGATTGGTGGAGTTGGCCCAATAGCCGTAGCGCAACCGTCCTGACGTCAGGACAGTGTTCAAATCTGGATCAGTTTTTATCAGATCCGTTGCAGCCCCTTTTTTAGAGATTTGGGTATGGAGGAAAATAGAGAGGGTTGTGTTTTCTGACACTTGGTGAGTTCCCTGGAACACCGGGGACACATATTCATGTATAAAAGACGTACAAAAGTGCATTTTGCATGATAGGTCCCCTTTAAGTAAAAGTACAAAAGTATCGGCCTCAAAATATACTAGAGTACTCGTATGCGTGATGGCTCATTTCATAATCATAATTTAAATGACTGGATTATGATTATGTATGCATTAATGTGTCTATAACAGCTGGTCAATGTATTTTATCTACTTTATATTCCGCTGCTGGGAATGTAGTTTTTTGTTTTTTAATTAGATAATAATCTGAATCTGTAAAGTAAGTAAAGTTTTCAGATAAATGTAGTGAAGTAAAAAGTGCAATATTGGCTTCTAAAATTAAGTGAAGTAGAAGTGGAAGTATAATTAAATGAAAATAATCAGTACAATTACCTCAAAATATAACTTAAGTACAGTACTTGAGTAAATGGAATTACCTAAAAATATCCACCACTGGATGAAACAGATGGAATGGATCATTGAAAAATGTAATGCAGCGCAGTGCTACAGGAAGGCTCTTTGGAGCGCCCTGAATTTAACTAATTAATTAATTGAATTAGCATCCATATTTCAAAAAGCGTTTGCGGAGAGAAAAGCACAAACAAGTTTGTGAGCCTGCGTTGCCTACAGAACAATATGGCAGACATCGGGACGACTACAAATATTGCATATCTGCATATCTTACAAGAGTATTGTAAAGGAGGCAAGTGTTGAGATCAAAGAAGAAATAGCTAACCAACATGAAATAGGATGTAGTAGTCATCTTGTGGCCCAGGTCACATTCAGTCCATGAATGGAGACATGTACTTTAGTTTCCAGTGATTCTGTCTGCTGATTATGTAAATACTGAAGTGTATATCTGGTTCAGATTAGAGAGAATAAAGTACATATTCACAAACATACATACAGACGAGCAAAGTAGCAGTGAGATGCACAGTCTCTTATTTGATTCTGCCATTAGACATCATTTTTTAAATCCCCTAGGGATCCGAATGCTGCTGTATGTGAAGTATACATTTTGAAATTCCCATTAACATATCCATGCATGCACAAAGCCTGTTATGGTTGCTGGCTGTGCAGTTTCCATTTATTTCCATGGAGTGAGTTTATTGTTAGTAAACCTGGATGTCATATTTGAATCTACCCTGACACACAAGCTTCTTAACAAGCATGAACACCATTCAATACACAGAGCTGCAGTGAGCTGCTCTCACCATATTCAACAGAAGGAGAACACACACAAAGTTTATGTGGAGTATACTGCTGTTTTAAATAGTCAACACCAGACTCAGTGTGTGTGTGTGTGTGTGTGTGTGTGTGTGTGTGTGTGTGTGTGTGTGTGTGTGTGTGTGTGTGTGTGTGTGTGTGTGTGTGTGTGTGTGTGTGTGTGTGTGTGTGTGTGTGTGCGTGCATGTGTGTGTGTGCATGTTAAGTGTTCAGGAGTACCTTTACACCTGAACACTTAAGAAGGTTACACAAATATTCAATTCAAACAAACAAATTCTAATGAGCTTACATTCTGTCTGTTTTTAACCAAGTGAAGCTTTAACAAGCACAAAGAGTGTCAAGCCCCCTGTTATCGTCCCATGATTTCATTGGTTAGTCATGTAGCTCTGAACCCTGCCATTAACTGGAAGAGAGCACACATGTGGGAGGGCAGCCGAGCCGGGGACTAAAGTGCCACTTGGAGAGTTTGGGTCCCTCCAGATTGCCGTAGCAACTATTCTACTTCATAGCTATTTGAGGGAAACCAACCACACCTATTCAACCCTCTCACCCTGTCTCCACCGTCCCCTTCCCCTAACCCCCCCCCCCCCCCCCCCCACACACACACACACACACACACACACACACACACACACACACACACACACACACACACACACACACACACACACACACACACACACACACACACACACACTCACACACCACCACTGAGCTAAAAACAACCTTGCCCTGTAAAGGGTTGAGTGGCTCTCTACTGCCACTTCTGTAAGAATAATACACTCACAGCGTAAATGTATTCTGGTTACTGAATAAGTGCCTGTGTTTAGTTTCATATTCACCTGGGTGAATCACTGGTGGGGGAGTTTTCGGGGAACTAAATGAAAAATCCTGTGTTTCTTGGTAAAGTGTTTCTATATGGGAGCTTTTGTAAGCTTGATAACACAATAGAAACTACTAAGGGAAAGTGTATTTTCCCCCGAAGCTTTGCAGTTGAGTCACAAATGTACCAGCACCTTATATGGTAACCTCTCAAAAAAACCGCAATGTCCTGCTCAACACTGTCTAATTTAACAACTAGGTAGAAATAAACAGAGGACCAGATAACCTGTAATTCTACACCTCATTCTTACTAACACACTGCTAGCCACCACTACTAATGCTAGATGCTATCTCTGTAAAAAAGATCAAAGTGGTGACTGCTAATTTACAAAGAGGCAAAATCATTAAAATTATGTTTTCAATCTGTTGTGATGTTGAACAGATCAGTTAACAGTGCAGTCATTTGTTTTCCAAAAGGGAAAACATTTCCAAAATGGCTGCCAAATGAACATCAAAGAAGATCTCCTAAAATGCAATAATGAGTTAAAATAAATCTAAATTCATTCAAATCATGTCCGTCATCTGCTATGGTTAACTTTTCAAAATGGAAAATCTTCTTATTCTCCTTAAAAAAGTAGAACAAACACATGCCTTCTGATAAATACATAATGGTTCATTTATCGTGACATTTTTGTACATGTCAGTGTTCTGCCGTTTTTTTTAAAGAAGAAGTAAAATAGATGGGTTAGACCCGTATAAAGCCAATGCTAAGACTTTTATTATAAAACAAATTAGTAATCGACTCTTTTCCTGCTCATCTGCTCATCTGACTCCACTTGGTGGCAGTGTTGCTTCACAAGACTTCTCATAACACAGCCCAGTTTTTCTCTGAAGTGACCGAAGTGAAAATGGACCGCCATCTTTTCTAGATTTAAATGTAGCAATAAACTTCCTCTGAGGTGATGTTCTCTATATATTTTGGAGGTTTCAGTCATTATATTATATAGTTTCTGAACCTGTCGGGAAAACATTCTGCATTTGGTGAAGTACACATTTCATCCTGTAGGTTTATCCAATGTTTGAATTATAATCAAACTACAAACTCAGAGGAAATGAGCAGAATAAAGACTACCAAAAGAATGTTCTTTGAAATACACATACTTTATTGGTGACAGTCTGACAGTGATTACATGGCATTGATCAAAATACACCCATTACTGTGTGAAAATTGCAAGAGAAGAAGACATTTGAGTAACTGAAGATAAATGCATCATCAATAAAGAAAATAAAGAACAAAGTGTACATTGTGTTGTCTTTCAGAGTGGCTGAGATGATCCTAACTAAAGCTCAATCATTCTAGCAGTAACATTTTCTGAATTATTAGTGTATTTTAAATAGTATTAAGCAGATACCTTTACATGATGCAAATTGGCTAGGCTGCAAACTCAGATTACATCCTGAACCACTCAAATGGACCAATCCAACAACTGACATCTCAGCCGAAGTGTCACGTGCCGCCTGACACAGAGAGTAGAAGGCTAATGTCCACTAAACATGTCTTCATATAATGTTATCATAGTTTTAATTTGAAAGCTGCTACATATCAGAATCCTGTGCATTATACTCAAGGTTTCACACATAACATTGTAATTATCTACTCAAAGAATCAATAAAACATGGTGTTATTATAACCTTCTGGTTCATATCCATCCTTTGTGAGTAGAGAGTTGTGTAGAGAGGAATACAAGCTTATGAGGTTAGTTCAGATCAGTAAAGTATGTGAGGTGCTGCTCTACTGTCAGTTCAGAGCATTAGCATGGATTAGCATTAGCTCAGAAAACAGTAGCAGCAGAGTATTATACACAGCACAGCCACGCTCCAACCTGTGACAGGGCTGATAAGCACACAAGTTATTATAGAAAAGACTACAATCTTCATCATCATGATCATAATCATCTTTATCATCTTCATCACTGTGCCGAAACCTTGATTTTGTGTATAAGTAATAGCAAACAACTTATTGTTGGTAGCTTGTTGCTGTTTAGTCATTCCTATGCGACACATGCGACACGTGCATGCAGAAAGAGAGCCGGACAGCATCCCGAGCGACTTTGTACATTGAAAATGAAAAGCGAGACAAGCTTTGATTCACAGTTCAAATGGGAAACTTGTCTTTAAGATCGTACTATTTGGAAACCAAGATCCCAGAAACACTAAAGGTCAAAATGACTAATAAAGCCATTACTGGGCCTTTTTCTGGAGCAAAACCGAAGAAACATCCACAGGTTTATTCTTCTTCCCGTTTTTATCACGGTGATACTTTGCCTCTTTACGGGATGTTTTGTTTCTAGCTCCAAGCTAATAAACTAGCTTAGAGACTTGTGCAAGTCTTGTGAACATTTGTCTCTTGAGTAGTGTGAGGATGTGGTGACGCTCATGGTCAGGTACACACATGAACTGGAAGTGTCCAACTGTAACACAGCAGGAAGAAGGTGCAGCGTTCTGTACAGAATAAATGTAACTACGAAAGCTAACGCTAACGTAGCTACTCTGATGTTTAGCCTACTGTGACCTTCACACATGAATTTGCACAGTTGCGGTAGCAGACTTTTTTGACAATGGTGACCTAAATTGAGGAAGCTATAATATAAGCTGTTGTAGCTTCCGTGCATCGAATTAATCAAATTGATGAAACACCAATAGAGCATTTTGCCATGAATAAACCTAGCAACAACCATGATGTCACTACATCACCAGGCTTCATCTTTCTACCAATGCTGTTTTAATACAAGAGACAACGCACAGCAACCGGTGCTTCCATCAGGAAAAGTGAAGTGTTAGGGTGAATGTTGAACCTTTTCGATGTGGCAAAGTCCTTTCACAGATTTACAATCAGTGTGATGCTCAGGGATTACATCTGAAGTCACATATACAGTATATAAAGCTGAGTGATGAAAGGATGCTGATGGGATGCAGTTTATGCACTGCTGGGGTGAGTCAATCTTGACATCACAATTTATATACTAGGCACTCTTTTACTTAAGACTTTAATAAGTAAACCTCATGATCATCTGGAAATGTGGCTCTTCACTGGATTAGTGCTGACTGTGCTTCAGTCTTTAACAAAGAAACAATTTCTAAATGAAATGGCTTAATTCTATTTCTTCAAAGAATATGTAATAATTATGATCCTACAGTTCAGCGGGTGAGATGAAAAGGGGACCGGACACAGACTCTGCTACCATTTCAAGACTGAAATGCTTTAAGGACGGAGGTATTCAAGTTTCTTTTGTGTTTGCGAAAAAAAGCACACATCCACTCTCACTTTAAACAGAGCATCCAACCTGCTGCGCCTCTCATGCTATGGAGAAAAACAATTTGAGATGTGAAAGCACACACACACACACACACACACACACACACACACACACACACACACACACACACACACACACACACACACACACACACACACACACACACACACACACACACACTCATGGTTCTAAAGCTGCAGAATAAACGCTAAAAATCTGTACAATATTTAAATACTGTATTTACACAGAAATAAACACACTCCATTGCTTGTCTCAGCTGGCCTGCATCTTTGTGCAGAATAATAATCTAATAGTCAGAAGCATAAACAAATAAAGGCAACAGTTATGCGCATTGATGGCTGTACTTGCTATTCAGATTGAGCTTGCAGCACGTTTCACATTCTAGGATTCAGATTTGACTGTGGATCATTTTAATGGAACATACTGGTGGTTTTGCATGATTTGGCTGATTCAGATATACTAAGCATTGCCAGTGATTGTCAAAAGTAAGCCATAAGATTTACATTGACTTCCCATGTCATACCAGGCCGGGTTTTTACCTTTACAGTACATATGGTAATACTTCAGTGCTGACAAATGGTTCTGGTCTCTCAATTAGTAAAAGACATACTGATATGTTCTCCTAATGTTGCTGTAAAAACAACAAAGCTGTAGATGTGTATCTGTTAAATAACCAATATATCCACAAAGGCGTACTGTAAACAAATGTTAAGCAAATACACAAATCAGAATTAACGCTAATGTTGCTTCAATTCTCCTGGATGTGAATTCTAACCCTTTTGACTTCTGTTTTAACAGCTTGTTTTGCTGCCCATGAATTTCCCTTCTTCATCTAGGGACGATTTGTTTCATACAGTCATACAGAGCTCTTTATATGAACAAGCTAAATAAGCTAATGGTTCAGCCTGATGTTTTTGTCGAGGGTTTATATACTTTAGTGAACCTGCTTACAGCACTACCATAAAGTGAATCCATCTCATTTACTGCAATACACAGGAATGAGAGAGAAAGGTCAAACAAAACAGTATGCTTTGGAAATCACTGGCAGCACTGTGACATGTGATGTTTACTCAAAAGAGCTGAATCATGCAAAACCATGATGACATGTTATTCCTTTACAGATATACATTGATCTGCTGTAATCTGAAGCAAAGAAGATGCAATCTGAATGTGTATCCACTAGATAGTGTAGAATATTATACCGTATGTTGTGTTTTTCTGGGGTTGTATAGAGCGATGATTTCAAAAGCTGTCCTGTTACACGTTATGTCTGAGAGGTGATACGCCTTTATCTTCCTTGTGAGGAGCTCTTCAACCTGATTCATCACAGAGCAGCCTCAGCATGGGGTACACAGGTACGTATGTTATGAGTGTGTGAACACCATAAGGCTCCTCAGCTCACACACTGCACTCTCTTTTCTTTCTGGTTGTAACATGAATTCTACTGCTGAAGGCCTGCCCGGGTTAAAGGTCAACTTTAACACTTTTATTCAAACCATCTACCAAGCACACTTAACCTCTGAGTGACGCAGCCTTGAGATTCACTGACCTTTCCATTAAACATCCCCAGTTGATGTGTTTAAATGTATGTGTGTGTGTGTGGGTGTATATGTGTGTGTGTATATTTGAACAGATCCTAAATATTTGGGAACATGAGCTCTCGTTCCCTTCTTAATGGCTTAGGAAGTCAATGCTAGCTTTGACGGTGCGTCCGGTGGACACGTCCACGGCCATGGCCCGGATCTCCGTGTCTCCAAACTGCATGAGCGTTTGGATCTCGCGGCGCGGCGCCGTGCTCTCTGTTCCGCTCACATCCAGACGAAGTGTCCCACACTTCCTTACGCCGGGCTCGCTGATGAAGCCCACCTTCTCCTTCTCGGAGCAGTAGACGTGGATGACGATGACCTGCTGGGAGGGCTTGGCGGGGGTGTAGCTCCTCTTCACCAGCTCCCCCAGTGCCACCGACTGGTCTGCGGCGATGAAGGTGTCGAGGACGTCGGTGCACCAGCGCGTGCCGTCCTTCACCAGCAGCTTCTCTGGAGGGTGCTTGCCCTCCACGAAGCGGTTGAGGACGCCCACCCCGTATGTGAGGGGGGAGCGGCGCACTTTGATGATGCTGGGGTCCAGGCCGAACAGCACGGCCCCTTTCAGAATGGTGAGGCCCACGTCATGGGGGATGATGATGCGGCTGCGGCCCTGCAGCATGTCCTGGACAGCCTGCTGCAGCAGGAGGGACTCAGCAAAGCCCCCCACCAGGAACAGGAACTTAATGTCGCTCACCTCCGGCTTCTCAAACAGCTCCGCTGGAGGAGGAGACAGAAACTCAATGAAGGAAACAACTGACTGTTACAGCAAGGAACACATGTGCCGTCAGCCACTACTGGTTGAAGTTTATGTGCAACATTTACTGTGGGATATTTATAATGTCTTTTCAATTAGCTTATTTGTTCAAATGGATCTCCGATTTTCTCTACCGACTCATCATTACAGCTGTGTGTGTCAGCTGACCACAGATCAGATGCTGAGAAGCATGTTGTCACCACTGCTGTGTAACAGGATAAGCAGGTGTATGAACATACTTCGCCTATGGATCCTATTATTAGAGATGATCTGACAGTGCAGAGAGAGACGCACACAGTGGGATTATAGAGCAGTTTGTAAACAATCCGACATTTGAGCCATATTCCCCTTTATTTGTTGGTGATTTGCAGCTGAAATGTCACCAATGATCCCTCATTACCAAACCGCCTAAGGCTTGTCTACTTGTTCTCCTTATGGTGCATTTAGCATCGTAAACATATTAACATGTGTAGCGTGTGCACGTACATCCTGCTTCATGTCTGTCACACTCCTATTCTAAATAACAGACACATTTGAATCAAATCAGACGACAGTGCTTTAATTGTGCCCGTGTTACTGTTTGTTTGTGTTTTGGTTGTGCTTTTATTTGAGTTCATGTGCGAGTATCTGTGAGATGGATATCACTGTCACTGTCTGTTGACAAAGTTAAAAGCAGGTCCTCTGCAGGTTAGGCTAATACTGCAAGACTCAATCAATCAACCACAGTCACGTGTGACAATCATGAGATGACATGGTATACAGTGTATAATAGCACTGAGTGATATAACGATATACATATATATATATATATATATATAATGTTTATCCTTTATATTCTTCCAAATCCTTACTAACGTTATACCAGCTAGGCCTATGTTTTACATCAAGAAAATCAGAACTTATAGCAGAATGTATTTAATTCACACAGGACTAAACAAAAATAATTCATTTCATATAGACTTTTTATTTATTGAATTCGTTTTTATTATCCTTATACTTTGCAACTTGTTTTTTTAGATGGTTTATGTTTGCACAGCGAGATACCAAAGCAAATTCCTTGTATGTGTAAACGTGCTTGGCAATAATCTTGATTCTGATATATATCTTCATCAGGATCAGGATATGAGGTTTTTCCATATCTCTAAAGCATATTGTATTAGTTACTTGCACGACTTAAGAGTGAAGACACTATGAATACCAGCTATATGTGGACACATCGTATGAATCAAAGCATGAAATACAGTTTGTTTGACCACAATAGTGTGTGTGTGTGTGTGTGTGTGCAGCTTACTGAGGTGTTGGATGATGTGGTCTATGGTGGGCTTGAACAGGGAGTTCATGGCGTCTGGATTCATCCTCAGCATCCCCTGAGACGACCATTTGACAAAATCCACACTGAGAGAGGAAGTGACAGTTTATGAATATATGCAGATAGGGCTCTATTAAAATGATAATGACAACATATTTCAAATAACAATATGTCCCAATAAGGCAAATGTTTTGCATAGTTGTATATGAAAATAAAAATATGATAACATAGTTTTCACTTACAATCTGCTTAGAATCTTAACATAATCTTTTTAAATGATAGCCCAATGTTCATATCTAAACTGACACTCAACCACTAAGATAGCAACAATGCTTTCTCGTGATGGCTCAGTATCTGACATCTCTAATGATAATGTGCACTGTTCATTTTTCATTGTGAGATATTTGAACGATGATGTGTGTGTCCAATAATAAATCTATAGTGTCCGTCTGCTGTGATCCCATGTGTGTGATTCCTGTACAGTATGTGCATTAGGTTGTGTGTTCCACAGTGGAAGTTGGCACTTCCTGTTAGACATCATAGGAGCCTGGGGCTCAGTGGGCTCCAGTTTCAGACGTATAAATATCTTATAATGTCCCTCACTGTGGGATTATTACCATCCACACAGACAGGAGACAGGCCCATTACATGGAGACTCCATGCTGGTCCCACAGGTCAGTCGTTACAGAACTCTAAGGCCTGGAAGCCCATTTATTACTTTCTGTCTAACACTAAGTACTAATTGTGTGTCATTATGGCAAAATGGGTGCTTTTAATCTTGCTTTTAAATGTATCTCTCCAGCAACCATGGACAGTATATAAGAAGTGATAATGTCACCTAATACAGATTTGAAGAGGGTTTTCTTTTGGAAACAGAAGTGACACATGAGGGTGGAACTCAGTACAATTGAATATAACATATTATAATTAACTATGATGAAGTGAAAACTCACTGTGGAAGTGTCAAAGTCAAAAGATGATTCCACACACTGTGGTAGCAACCTGTCAATCACTAGGTAGCCCCGCCCTAAAGCAAATCTTGGTTTATCCTCAATTTGACTCTAAATAAGACCCTCATACACAAAACCATCATTATGCTGTGTGAAAGATGTACACTGTGATCTCATCAGGCCTTCTTTATGATCCAGACAGATCAGCTGTGTGTTGAAATAACGATAGTGCTCCATCTTACTATACTGATCTATTTAATATGTCAGGGACAGGTCTCTGGTTTCTGGTGTGTACTCACTTGCTTTTGCGCAGGGCATGTTCCACGCTGTGGCCCCTGAACTTCTTGTAGTAGTCGATGAAGGAGAAGGGCAGGTTGATGTTGAGTGGGTTGGTTCTCTCGGGGGCCGCCGCCCTCTTCCGGGACTCAAACGCGATCATCAGGTCCACCCAGGCTGCTGGTCTCTTGATCTTAAATTGGTCGATGAAATCCTGGCCAAAGATCTTACACAGCAGCTTCTCAAATTCATAATCAATGCCAATGGAGCCATAGGGACCGCCTGGGAAGAGAGGGGTCCTGTGAGACTGTGACTCAGTACAATAGAAGCATCAAAAGCACGCCATGATTTTCTCACATCTCCAATATTGTATCACCTGCTGGTCTCAGGCAAGAAAGACTGTGCCGAAAATGGTTAAGATTATTTTCAAACAAGCCTTAAACCTTTTTGATAAGACATCATTAAAACACATTAATTGCGATATATTATCCAAATACAATCTCCTCAGTTTTGACAATCTCATTCTGTTCTTAAAAATTTGATTGGAATTGAATACCACCACACCACCTTGGAGAAGCTTTTCCACCTCCGCTCTGAACAAATGGGGAGAACCTCAGGATCTGCTCTAAACGCAGATTGATCCCTCTGCCTTTCACAATCAGTTTTCTCATTTACGGCCATCATTGATTTTGGGAAACCAGTCTTGCCAACATTACTTTACTGTAATTTGAGATGTTAAATGAATGGTAAAATGATATTTCTATTGGCAAATGTACTAGTATTTATATTTGATTTGTCTGTGTTTGATGTCTGTTATGTGTGTTCCTTCAGGAACTGCAGATGGAAATGAGCTTTTATCTATAATCTAGCATTTAGCATCTCTTCTCTTTTAAAGATGAATGTATTTGTATGCATGGTCCTTGTTCAATAAAGATATATAATGGACCAGATGGAGTGGTCTTACAGTATGCTCTTACCTGAGGCCTTATAGAGCTCCTTCAGATGTCCCTCTGGGAGACGGATCTGATGGACAGTCAGGTCCACGGTTCCTCCTCCACAGTCCACCACCACGTAACGGTCTCCTGCACAGAGGGGGGGTGCAGTCAGTCATGTGCATCTAATGCTTCTCATCTAACAGCTCCCTCCCTGCCTCTGATCTACTCTGTACGCTGTTTTCAGGAACATTCTCAGGAGAGTTGGACGAGACTCTGTGTGTCTCTGCAGCTGGTTGAACCTCAGAGTCCTGCTTCCTCTCTGGGGCTGGAGTGTGAGCAGCACAGTGCAGGAGGTAATGACACGGTGGGCAGTTTGGACATGATTTACGGAGTCAAACTACATGTAACAGAAATCCAGCTAAAGGCGGGGATTCAAATAGTACCAGTTACATCTGTATTTAACCAAAAGAAATCTCTTTCACTGAAAGGATCTAAGGGATTTTTAGTTATTATAATTGTATTACTGAAATGAGGAAAAAGGGTCTTTGGTAATGTATGCTGCTTCTTTCACATGAGTGGGCGGGTCATTGAGCGTGTGACTGGCAGCAGAGCGAGCATGCAGGTAGAAAGGAAAACAAGTTAAAGTCAGTGTGGAGAGAAACTCAGCAGACTAATGTTGACAGTCACAGTTGAGCACTGTAATCATAACTGACAGAACCAATGGCAGGCGCAATGAAGGAAAACCCAGCATGAACTAAACTGTAGTTTGTCATCCAGGACTTCAAAGTACGTAAGTAAAGAAAGCAACACACTTTTAGAAATGATGACCTTCAGCACCTTTCTGTAACTATTACATTTTCTCCGGGTTATTTCGTTTTTTTGAGGAACTGTAGTTCCTCAAAAAAACGAAATGCTCTATTTCAGTAATATCTAAAGTTAGTACCTAAAAAGAAAGATTGGCAGCAAAGGAAACAGCAACAGTGTTAACCCTAGAGGAAAGGAAGATGGAAAGAGGTGTAAAAGAGGAGAAAGACTGTACCTTCTTCCAGCTCCGCCCAGAGCTCCCCTATGACATTCTCCACCATAAAGGTGCGGCTCTGCCGGTTGCGCCGCACATGCTCCTTCGCTGCTTGTTAACAGAGAGAGAAGGTTCTGGTGAGTGTGAGGAAGCTCTGCAGTGAGAGGCTGTGGGGCTCAGGTACAGGAGTGTATGAGGCAAGCAGCAAGCTGAGGTGCACAAGTATCACACTGTGAGCTACTCTCATACTATAATTACTTATTAAAACCATAATGCATACTTTCAAGATCAGCTAAATCATTACAATTAGAAAAAGATCACTTGGCTGTTCAGTACATACAATTACAACACATACATATGTCTAGATATAGAGAACATTAGTGCTCACAGTGTTACCATGCAGTGAAACTGACGTGTGACAAAAAACACTTTAACTAAAGGAAAGTCAACTTCACCTAAATCAGATCATTATTACGGAAGAGCATTAGGGCCACATGAGAAAGTGTTTTAGGGATGTGACCAAAAGCAGCAGGAAGACCTGACAGGAGTTCATGTCAGAGGGACACTTCCCCCTACACAGAGGAAACAATACAGGGACTCTCACAGCTCTGCAGAGGGCATGAGAGAGGGGCATGTTGTTCCAGAGGCAGAAGGACATGAGGTCAATGACCCATCAGTCAATCACATTTATTTATACAGCCCAATATCACAAGGTACGCATTCGCGTTGGGAGGCTTTACAGTATGTTCAGCACACAGCATCCTCTGTCCTTAAAACCCTTCAGAATAATGTGGAAATGTGGGAGACACCTCGGGGGAGACTGCTGAAGTGGAGATACTCTGAGATATCTCCACTTTAGCAGACATTAAAAAGCTTCTTTTATATCTTTTTTTGGAGAAAGAGATATGCTTTACATCAGATCTGTTGTTGATGTTTACGGCAACCTGTCACTAATACTATTCTTGTGTTCCTTCTTTTATTTCTGATCTGAAATCTCAGATGGTTACCATGAATTGCATGGCAGTGAAAAGGCAAACAGATCAGAGGAGGTGGCACAAGCTACATGTACTGCACTGACTGGAGACCAGATCAGCTGTAACAGAGCACCTGATCCATGTTCCGCACTCTGATTTCTCTCACCAGCACTCCTGCTACAGTATATCGTGAGTGGGATGTACGGACAGATGTACAGACTGACTCAGAATGACTTTATGCCTCCGTCCTCTGCATGCCAGCGGGGAGGCCTAACACACACAGCCCAACAGTCAGCTGGGGGACATTAAGGCCAGTAGCAAAGTCAGAGATGTGAAGTATTAATAATGTAAGAAACACTTTTTTGTGTAGGATAACTTGTAAAACTTGTAAAAGAAGCCAAATCAAGCTAAAATGTGAAGGTTGGAAATAAACATAAAGTCATGCATTTTGTGTCTGAATTTAAAAAGATAGCATGTTTACCATGACCTGGAGAAACTATGGATGGAACAGCATTCAACAGGAGAAAGAAATGTTACATGGTCAGTACTTGGGCTTCCAAACTGTAAGAATGCACACATTCAGAACAATCTGCAGGACAGATGTGAGCATGTTCTAATGATCTATGAAGCTTCATGGGTGAGACATTCTGTGTGAAAGCATCATGTGTTCAGACAGTCAGCACCACCTAATGTACCTTGGGTTATTGCGCCCCCCACATTCTCAGTGGGGCTGCAGCCGTTCTGGGTGGTGTTGGTGCCCAGGTCCACCATCTGGTGGAGGCGGAGCTTGCGGCAATAGATGGATGCTGCCTCGGGTTCCAAGGCGATGATCAGCTGCTCAGGGTTCTCACGGCTAACCAGACCAGACTACATGAGGGAGGAATACAAACACCTTTAACTTGTGAATGAACATACTATTGAGCATGATGATGTGTTCAAATGCCCACAATACTGTCTGAAGGTGTGTATGCTTTGTTTAAGGCTTTTTTTTTTATTGTTTCTACTGCAACCACAAAACACAATAGTTGTTGCTGTTATTGTTCGTGTGCTTGCTTGTGCTGCACTACGTTACCTTAGCGATTAATATTAAACGGGTCAAATATTTTTACCGCCAATGACTCACATTTCTAAACTTGACCCCAACTTCCTCCCAGAACTCCAGTGTGGTTTTTTACCAGTCTAATTACATGGCTAACACGGACAACACAATGACTGTGAACAAATGAAGTATCATTTGCACAAAGCACATCTTTGCTGGTGTTCCCTAAGGTGCTAGCACTGCCAGTCAGTTTGGATCAGAGTGTTTGTCAGACTTCACTGGCAAAGTGCAACCAGGGCGAGTCTGTCAACAAAGCGACACCAGCTATGCTAACCAATGCTATTGCTATATGTTTCTTCAAAGACACTATGGCATTCTGTTTCTTATCTATGCCTACTCACTGTATAATTAATTTGGATGAGAAGTTAATTTACAATACACTTTACACTAGATGTTAATGTTTCTGCTAATTAAGTGCCATTCATGACAATGATTCAAGAAATCATCAAGAACAAAGCTGAGATCTTCTTATAAAGTAAAAAGCACTTTGATGTATCCTAACAGCTTGTCAATCATTTTTCCTTTTATGACACAACACATTTATTTGTTTTTATCTCCCCAAAATCCAAGAAACATATTAGCATTTAAAACTATTTTAAACGCATACACTGTTCATAGCTAACCGTACTGAATGTAAAACCGTGTCATTCTTAACCTTTACCCAGGATGGGTAACCCACTTTGTCCAATATGAAACCAGAATGAAAGTATTTGTCCCATAACTTTGTAACTCTTGCAGTTATGTTATATAAAACACCATTATACTTCTAGAACTAGCAGAGTTGATGTGTTGCTGTACAGCACCATACATGAGGAATACAATGTCATAAGATATGATCACAATTGCGGTTATGTTGGTTTTAGGGGTGGATTAAAAGAGAGAAGGGCTGTGGGTGGTGTCCCAGCCCCAGAGGGCTGATGGATGACGTGTCCTCCCTGAGCAGCCAATCAAATGATCCTTACTGCCTGATGCTGAGTCACTGCAGACACCCCTCCCCTCTTCACTGTGTCTCCACCTCTGTGTTTCACTCACATCCTCTGTCAGCTCATCCCTCCATCCTGCCTCCAGCGCCAGCGCAGAGCGGCTGAAAGCTCGCCTCTTTTTTATTTCTGCCCTCCTCTGCACCCGCAACCACACCCCTCTCTTTCCCCCATTTTAGCTCACACACTAGGGATGTGAATAGGACAAAAGGATGATATCATCGGGGAAGAGAGTAGCAGAAACCAATAAGAGAAAAGTGTAACAATCTATTGTCTATAACCAAAGTTCCCCTTAGCTCTGCCATAGTTGTGGGTTGTGACAAGGCTTGTTATAATAGTCAGGTTGTCATGTTTGGTACTATCAATACCAAAACCTAAACCTGGGTGCACTGACTGTGAGTGTTACCCCAAGCTGTTCCCCAGCCAGAGACACTGCACTGAAGGGCTGGGCAGATCAAATGTTCTCTATCAAAAATAGTACCAGAATTTGTCATTGGTTGACCGGTGCCTTGCTCAAGGGCACCACGGCAGGGCCCAGGAGGTGAACTGGGACCTCTCTAAGTAACAGTCCACACTCCATATTTTAAGTCTGTTCGGGGACTTGAACCGGCAACCCTACAGCTCACAGTCCAAGCCCCTACTGACTGAATACTCATAAACACATGTGCAGTGAAGTATCGATTTATAACATTTTTCTAATATTATAATCATTATTTCACTGGAATTATTATATATATCTCAGTTTCCAAGAGAAAAACAAAAAGGATATTTGACTGCTCAGATTCATCAGTTAACATAATAATGCAGTGAAGGATGTACTATCCCCGCCTCAGACCACCACCAAGCTAAAAACAACCTTGCCCTGTAAAGGGTTGAGTGGCTCTCTACTGCCACTTCTGTAAGAATAATACACTCACAGCGTAAATGTATTCTGCAGCTAACTGAGCTGAATATCTACTTGTATCAGACCACTTCTAATCATCTTTTGCCAGCCCTTTTTGCACCTGCAGTGTTGTTGAAAGGCTACCTTCAGAAACTATAAATAAAATAAAAAGTATTTACGAACTAATTCTCTGGTCTAGCGTGCTGCAAAACTATCCGCGTTACAACTTTCAATAGTTCTCCTTCCTCCTTTTCTCTCTCTCTATACTGACTGCCTCCCTGTGTCCTCTACCACAGTCTGAAGGTCACTGTATGTGGGCGTCACACATAACATTAAGCATGCACCTCTCTCTCTACAGTGATGATTATCTAACACACATCATTGGAGCTAAAGTCAGATCCTTTGTGCAGCCATCCTCACTATATGGTTACAATATTGAGTCTGTAAACAGATGTCAAGTTACACAGGCATATAAAGCTTCTCTGCCTACCTTATATGCAGCCTCTCTCATGAACTGCTTTGCAGGCATTTTCCAGATGGCAGGAACAGTAATGACCCATCTCACATCATTGTTGTCAAACTCTCCACCTGTCTGATCACTCAGCTCCTGCGGCAGGAAAAGTAAACACAACCAACAGGTTAGCAAACAAGTGCTACACATCCCTTCTGATGCAGTACAAGTTCCCTGAGCTATTCAGTGTGACACAAAGTGCCCCCTGCAGTAGTCAGATTAAGCACGTCTGAATACTAGTATATTACAAGATAAATCATTATTAACTTCAGGGTTCATTCTGGGATTAAACCCAAATGATACACACAATGTAGATTGTAGATATAAGAATATAAAAAATAAATGTTGTTTGTCTGTTTACAACAAATGATTCGGTAGTGAAGACAGAGGTGTGTTACCTTAATTGCTTGCTCCTTAAAGAAGGCCAATGCATATGCAAAGATATCAATAGCTTTCACTCGCTTCCCATTGGCTGCGTGGAGGTCTGTCTCTATGGACAGATTCTGAGTGCAGGAAGAAAACATCAACATTAGAGTTTAAAAAAGGACATGAAATCAGAACTTCAGCAGAAAAGTATATGCATATGAGGAGGGAATATGAGGTCTGGAAATACATTTCATATATCCTCTTTGAGGATCGTACATATATGTGACATTGCTCAGCCAGTTGTCAGACGGTGTCTTCCAAACAGTGTATCTCTGCAGCCAGCAGCCAGACGGCCATCAAATATTCATGGGTACCATGGGATGATTCTTAATGGCGCTTTTCCATTGCAGGGCCTCGCACGGCTTAGTACGGTTAGGCCAGGCTCACTTTATGCTGCGTTTCCATTACAGTTTAGGAACTGGGGCAGTAACTATAGTAACGCAGTGTAGGCGGAGCCGTGACGTCATCTTCAATGCGAACCACAAAACCAACATCAGCCGTTAGCTGTTAGCCCTCAGAGCTCACAGCTCCTCATATCTGTTCAGAAACTAGACAACAGTTAAACAAGTACAAACCACAGACTGCCTGTGTCATGGCGAATACAGTCGCTGGTTTATTTATGTCTGTATAGGCCGTTGTTGTGAGTGTGGACGGTCGGAGCAAATACAACGTTAGCTTAGCCTGATCGATCCGATCTCCATTCAGAAAACACCAAGATTTACTAACCGTTATCAGTATGTTGTTACTTCGGCATCATTTTGAAACGCGTATTACAATTAAATCACAGTAAAATATGTTCATTTTGTTGTAGTTGTAGCCCCCTTGCCAGCGATTCTCTCTGACCATTCGGCAGTCGAGAGTGTTTACGTCACTAGTTTAGCATATTCAGCCCGGTTGTTGGCCCGGTAAGAACCTCGATTTTGGAGGGCCAGAAAAAAGGTGAAAAGTAGCCCTGAGCCGGAACTACCCCTATTGGAAAAGCAAAAAAAAGCGGGCCGGGTTACGTGCTGCAGTGGAAAAGCACCATTAGTGACCCAGTAACCTTTCCTCTTTTTCCATCATTAAGGTTAAGTCTTTTGTCCTTCTATACTTTTCTCATCATTAACAAACTTCATGAAAATATCAAATGTTTTACTGTATATCTCAATAGTTTCACTAACCTACATGTCTGTGACACTCAGAACTTACTAAGGATGTCAATCTTTAAATCAGCTCACATGTAAATAGACTGAGTGATTTTCAAAAAAAGCTGGCCAGTGCAGTTTTTATCAAATGTAACTCAAACTGTATTAGAGCAGTTGTTATGACATATTTTCAGTTTTTATATAATTTAAGTATGTTTGGCAATGAATTAGTGTAAGTGGGATTAATATCAAATACATGACAGGGTTTGTTCATGGTAGTACAGGAACATGGGAAGAATAAGCTATGGATACACAGTACACCGTACTTGTTAGTAGGATAAATGTATTGTTGGTTAGGTCTGTACATGGGGTTCGCTGTCAATTAAATAAATATTGAATATTGCAATGATTGACCCTTCAGTTTCAACATTATAATACCATTGTTAGGATATATTTATGCTACGGGTAGGACGGATGGCTGATTATCAGTCATATCACCCCCCTCTTATATACTGAATGCTATGGTGATTCTCCATAGGTTTTTAAGGGTGGAGCCTAAGCAGCATTAACAATATCATCACTACTTTAAATTAAAATATAGTGCAACTGTAGCTATAATTAGTTATTTTTAAAATGTAGATTGACGTCAAATGAAAAATGAGCTGAACCTTTTTTTTTTGTACAGATTTGTACAGTAAACACTACTAGGACTGCAGACTTCCCAGTATGCATAGATGTCATTGTAAAACCTACATGTTTTACTTATAAACTCTTATGTTCGAACATGTGTTTGATCCAGTGATAAATAAATCATCTGTCCATCTATTACAACACCACAGCAGAGCAAGAGGCAGGAAGCCTGGCACAACAGCCACTGGCATGAATAACAAACACAGCAAGAAGGAGGAAGAGTCGGTGCAGCATCGACCTGGGACAAGGTGATGAGGATGGGCTGTGATGGGACCGCTGCTTGGCAGGCCTGACTGCTATTACGTGTGTGTGAACAGTGTGTATGTGTCCTTACTGCAGTGGTGTGGAGCTTCATTTTGAATTTTTCCAGATAGAGCCACTGTTTGGACTCGCTGGGGTCCAGGTCATGGTAGAAGTCACGGGCAGCATAACCAAAGCTGTGGAACTTCCTGTCTGGAGTCAGCAGGATGGTGGTTGGAGTCTTCTGATTGGACACACCAGGGTCCCCGCCTTCCCAACGCCTGCGAGGAAGTCAGTTATTATTTATGTACCATAAATCTGTATTTCTGCTTTCCTGGTAGTCAAATAAAGACTTTTTGAACTGTAGGCAGCTTAACATTGTCATGAATAATCGTTAGGCTGTTGAAACCACCCAACTTCTGACCATCAAATGCACATACAAATAAGCATCTATTACGAGTTATATGCAAAGTGCAAAGTGATTTCAGTTCATGCTTTCTGTAACATTCACAGTTTACTCGTGAACACTTGTATTTGGGTCAAGTCGGTCATTACATTGTGTCAGGATAACATGATCCTCTCTTGTAGGCTAATTGAGACAACACAGTATTTCTGGATAAATCGAGGTCAGCTATTATTAGTCATATGTTCCTTGGGAGAGGTACATGATGGAAAGGCAGGGGCCATCTCACTAAGAGCACCTGATGTGAAGAGGAAATCGTTTGGGAGATCTTGGAAAGAACTGGATGGAACTGCTAACAGCTGGGATATCTCCTACATTTTCATCCGGAATAACAGTGAGTCATGCTGCTGTCTGTTCTCACTCTGCTTTGTGTAATCTGCCTCCAACTCTCTGTTGGTGTGTGTTTCTGCATATCTCATGTTATTTTAGTCTGCTCAGTAAATGTGGGTATTACAGCAATCATAATACTATATTGTCCTTTATGTTTTTTGATTTCAATCAACTGTAAACATATAATGTACAACTGCTGTTCTCTCACATACATGCATACAGGACGACAGCACAGGAATGAACTGTCTTTCTATGAGGAATATAGCTTTTCCTTTGTAAGAGGACAATTATGTCTTAATTTAAAAGTTACAGTCTTGCTTAAATAAATGGCATTATTTAAAAACTATTACTGATCTGTCCCTGACTGTGATTGGCAAATTGGAGAACAGATCTACATCCCATATATAAAACGATATGTTTTATTTGATCTCCTCCATTACAGAGAGCTCAAGCACCATGCAACACATTGGCTACACTCACAAGACATTGTTTATCTACTTTCTTCGCACAATACTAATAATCCATATGAACAGATATCTGCATATGATTGCAGAATTTGTAGGCAACGTTAAAGATTTCTGGTTCCTGTCTGTAGTTCGATTAGTATTGCTTAATAGAGCAGTCTATGGTTAAATGCAGGTCCATCTGGAGAGCAAAATAAAAAAAGGAAAGCATTGGCAGAAATGAAACCTCAGATCTCAGGTGGCATGTGGCGCAGTGGATAGAGCCTTGGTGTTGGGATCAGGGGGTCACAGGTTCAAACCCCACTACAGTCAGCATGTCGTTGTGTCCCTGAGACACTTCACCCCAAATTGCTCCTGTGGGGATTGCCCACAGTATTGAGTATGTAAGTCGCTTTGGATAAAAGTGTCTAACAAGTGAAATGTAATAATGTAATAATAATAATCTCATTGGGTACTGACTGACGAGGATTTAGCTCTTTATGCCCTAAAATTGAAATAATGCGGTTGTAGTCTGTCAACTCCATTCTAAGATTAAAGATGTTAAGACGGCTGTGAACAGTAAGCGGCGCACAGACAGGAAGTGTTGTACTGATATCCACTGGCCCCTGCCTCCACAGGCTAAAAGCCACACTGTTATCCGGAGGGTTCTTAGATTGTAACATGCATGACTGCAGACAATTGGCCGTCTGCAAAACAAATGAATGCAATAAACTTTACTCAAACTGCACACAGCAAAGCCGTACAGGTATGGTAACAGAACTCAGCACAGATTCTCCAGGACAATCATTCCTCTATTTTAAAAACACAACTTCATATTTGTGACGCTTAAAGAGTTTTGAAAGATGAAGAGCAGCTGGATGTATTGTGGGACATACTTGATGGCATTACACTTTTAATGGGATTTGTTTAATTTGTTTAAATAGTATGGCAGCCCTATCCTTTAGGTCAGAACACCAGCAACACGCCAGGCAGCCTGTCCAGATTAGGGTAGAAAGCAAACAACGCTTATACTGAATCATGCACCTCACTGAAGCATACACTGAGTAAAATGTGTCTTTTTCTATGAGAAGGCCAACTATAAAAAAAATGTAGACTGAAAAACTGAAACGTTTACTTTAATCAAATGTATTATGTCATCAAATGTCACATAACTGTATTCGGTTAGTTGAAAGCAATAATATCAAGTTTAATAACACATATATTGCTTTCAACTAACCTAATACCGTTTTTTGAAATGTGTTGACATAATACACTTAATTAAAGTCAATGTGTCTGTGTTGTCAGTGTATTCAATGCAAATAATATCTGGAAGCTGCATCTCTGTGAGGTTTTGAGGAGATGAGGAGCTGTGACGCCAGCAGGTTTCTGGATCATTTGTTTCCCTCACAACACGTGAGGCCAGCTGGTGAATGCTAATGTTCAGTATATAGTGTGAGGAATGTCTGGTACCAGCACCCAGAACACCCCCACCCGCCTGATACAGCTTTTCTCTGGTTCCTTGCTAGAAACGTAAACCCTGCCAGGATCCAGGACGCCTGTGTCCAGCTCTTGTTTTTGTAAGGATTCCAGCAGAGCAGGGATCTAAATATTCAGGCATCTGGATCTGTTTAACTGCACATCTAGTAACACTTCAAATATCTCATTCTGTTTCTTATGATAGTCAGAGACAATGACTGGTGTGAGAGGGAGTTCCTGAGGCAAAGTCCCAAGGCCTGTGTGGGATATTTCCTCTTTAAAGGTATTAAAGAATATAATACTTTTTAACTTACTTTTAAAATCACAAGCTATAAGTGTGTTTCTGTTGGTTTGGATAAATATGGAACATTTAAAGTATAAAAACAAATCGCTTTCAGGATTAGTAATTATGTTCTAAATCCCTACCCTTCCTATGTTTTGTAACTTAGTGACTTTTAAGGTGGTTAACACAAGTCCTCCTCAACACGTTTCGCAATGATGACGTTCGAGAAGAAAAACTAAATATAACACCTGCTCAACCAATGTTTTTTTCTTTTCTGAATGATGTAGATATCTTCAGGGGTTATCTCAAATATAGCCTGGTTTATTTGTTTGTAAGTGTATGTGCCTCCATTTCTTTTTAACTAAATCACGAAATCCCACAATGCAGCTCTAGAGAGAATGCCAAGAATCACACATGAGTCATTGAAATAAACTCCTGTCAGCTGTTAACCCCTGTGGTGCCTGGCCCTGAGGGGTCATGCGACTCAGTGTCAGGCCCCAGCTCCACGGGAACCCATACGGCAAAACGCATCGGAGTAACGCAAATGCAACCGCAAAAAACCTTCCGCCCACACGCAATATACACCGGATTGTGTCAAGCTCCACGAGACGGCTCCGTTTACATCCAACCGCTGGAAAAGCTGCAGTACATATGCCGAACCTGTACGTGGCGCTGTAACTTCCTCCACAAAAGCAGCAACTTCCTCCACAAAAGCAGCGAAGAAGAATGGTTGTCATGGCTGCACTTCTGTTTATTCTCCGCGGTGGGGGCGGAGGGAACCGCGCAGAGTTTTTCGCCGGTCAATGTGTGTTAAAGTTTAAATCTTCATGCTTCCTCATGCAGCAGCTGATCCAGTAAGTAAACCCGACAGTAAAAATAAACATATTTATAACTAGTTTAGGTAGTTTGAGAGGTAATTAAAATAGCTAAGGGTGGTGATCTGACTTGAAGTGTGTGTTTTGCTCCCGCTGCATCACAGCGGGAGGAGCTGCGTGTCTCTGTCCTGTCAGATTAGACTTCACTCGCGTTTATGTCCATATCGAGATAAAGATAAATAATCTGAATTCAGTGTGCAGTGTACTTTTGCGGGGGTGAGCAGCAGAGGTGGGGAGAGGCGGGGCTATGAAACGGATGACCGTATAGGCGACCCCACGGCCCCGTTGGACCCCCCAGAGCGCTCCGTTCCCAGATCTATCCACCTTTGGACCCGTTGTCGTTTGCGGGGTCTGTTTCTACGTTTCCCTTACGGCGTCGTCGAGCTTAAAGGGCTATACGCATGAGAAATATGCGGATTCAACCCGTTTTCGTCCCCGTGGAGCCTAGGCCTCAGAGTTCAGCTTTTTTCACTAATAATTGATCATCCTAGAAGATGTTCTCAAAAACCTAGGTTTCTGTGTGAATTCTCTCAGGCACACTGTACTCTGTCATTCTAAATCTACCATCATTTAGTCCGGTTCTAGTGGTTTCTGTGCTCAAATGTTTTAATCAGATGTGCTCAACTATAACTGCAAGCACAAGGCTTTTATTACAGCCTGCTGGTCGAGACACATTGTTAGCACATGCACATTTTTAAAGTTACATTATGTGTAAGTGGCATCATCTCTGCAAACCCAAAAAACTGTTAGCAATGAGTCTATCATTTGGAATAGTTTTATTGTTTTTGAAATATGGTACCTAATACTTTTCTTCAATACCTTATGTTGAGTGATATCAGCATACTGTTTCAACAACCCATCTTTTAATAAAAAAAGAAAAAAGGAATTCAAATGTGCCAATGTTTTTACTCTTTGGTTTGAATATGAGCTTGTGTTTGAATTAGGATATTTGAGATAAAAGGTCTTCTGATTTAAACAAGGTATTACAAAATATTGATTTAAGTCCAGTTGCAAAGGATTTCAGATTTCGAAGATGGTGGGATGTGCACATGCTGATGCAGCTCCACCCCCACAGAGTGTCTGCACTGCAGTGCTGGCCTACCTCATGGTGTGAATGCACTCCGGCTCCTTAGTGAAGGCGTAAGCATAACCGCTGGACGTGGTGCCAAAGTCAATGGCTACCACCACCACGAAGGAGGGGCCCGACGGAACCTGGTCCGTGTCGTTCTGCTGCAGGAGGGGGTGGGGGGGGGGGACAGGATGAGATGCTGATTCAAATTCAATTCTTAGGCTTTATTGTCATGTGCACAGTCTCTACAGTGTAGAAATGGCAATGAAAATCTTTAAGCCCAAGCTCCTCCAACAATGCACCAAAATATATACATGAAATAATAAAACACATTTAAAAAACAATAAAATAGTGCAAGACCAATGTGCAAGTAATGCAGATGAAGTAAACTATATACATGTACAAACAAATAAATTCAATAAGCTAAATAATGCAGAGAATACTTTAAGTGACCAAGTAAATGCAGGAGTCTATATACATGTAAATATAATAAGAAAGACAAGAACAGAATCTACAATTACATATTGTACAGTGAAATAAAATACTGTTTATTGTAGTAATAAATCAATTGTAAGATGCAAAGAATGTCTCCAACAGCAGGGTTATACACACACACACACACACACACACACACACACACACACACACACACACACACACACACACACACACACACACACACACACACACACACACACACACACACACACACACACACACACACACACACACACACACACACACACACACACACACACACACACACACACACACACACACACACACACCAATGTAGGCTGTACTTCATGCTTTCACATTCACAACACACATCAACAGCATCAGGTCCAAAGCGGTCACTGAAAGACATCGGATCAGGTCAATAATATCACTTATTTCTAAAGATCAAACCAGCATCCAGCACACCACACATGGACACACACAGAGCTCTGACATATTTACAGCTCATTCTGAGGCCTGGCTGTAGAGCTGCACAGTGATGGAGGATGTGTTCTGTGGCCTGTGTCCTATCACTGTTGAAGCTGCCCCCCCCCCGCTGGGGTGCTCTAACATTGTTATTTAAGATACATGAGCGAGTGAGGGGAAACAATGAATAATTGGTGGAACGAGCAGACAGACCAGACACTGTTGTTTTTATGCCATGGAAGGAAAGAAAGTCCTTTTGCCGTATTCACAAAATGTAATATGAGCCTCGAAAGACAGATATTGCATTAACCAAACTGTACCTCAACATACTATATTATCAGAAGATGAACAGATTAAATGTGATTTAACATGTGAGCACATAATGCAAATAGACTGTAATGCAACACTATAACACCCCTGTTGTGCAATATTACTTATGTTCAATATATATATATATGTATTTATACCGCTTTATAACTATTATTATTATTATTATTAATGGCTGCTATCCCTTAGTAAGACAATTTAACTACTGTAATACATCTTTAAACAACTGTGCAATATGAACTTCCACTTAAATACTATCACTTTGCTGCTATCACACTACTTTATAAGTGCAACACATTTTTAAATACTGTAACTGGTTGTGTATTTTGTAAATTGTAATTTGTGTATTATACACACAGAGAGCATGAGAAGAACAGAGAATAGTCACTGATGTGATTAGAGTTACCTGAGTGTGTGAGGGAGACAGGGGGGTGATTCCAGGGTCCCCCATGCTCTTAGCTGGAGACGGATTAGCCATTTCTTCTGTAGAGGAAGAGAGAAAGATATTCATGTTACAATCTATATTCTATATTGTATGTTTCATCATTTATTTATGACTTGTACTACTTTTACTTTGCGAACAGTAAAAAGATGAGGAGGAGCTCAAAAACAATCTGGAATCTGAAACCAATGGAACATGATTGTCTTTGAATCAGGATGCTCTTATACTTCAGGGCAATATATATATATTTTTAACAACAACTGAAAAAAAAAGTTCAGCCTGCCCATAAACTAGCTAGTTAGGGTTTGTTAAGTAAGGCCACACAGTTCCCAATGTTATTTGAAAGTTGTGTAATCCTGCAATCCATCACAATGATCAGACTCTTCCTTTAGAGTTGGCACAATGGTAACTATCCTTTCTGGTGTTTTGGATATCATCAACACAGCCCAGTTCAAAAGTACAATGAATAAATCATTCAATATGAAGAGCATGAGTCGCTTTTGTTCTTTACTCCGGCCTTCTTTTGTTACGTTGGGCCGGCTGGCAGATGTGATGACCATATAACCATACTGTATTACCATGGTTACTGAAGGAACTCAACTCAAGCATGTTGTATAATTAGGCTGTATACAAAATGATGGTATTTGAGTAATAAAGACCTCTGACCTTGGGACTTAACTCAACTCAAAGTCAATTTATCAGCTTGCTAATTTCAGCCTGAATGAAGGCCTGAAGCAGAAGAGATCAGGTACCTGTGAACCTTCCCACTCACAGGGAAGAGGTCAAAGGTCATGGACCAGGAGTAGGTGGGCAGCTGGAGAAAGATCCAGAAGGACATTCTGATGCCATTTTAACATGCATGCACAGGGGCTACCTTCTCACCAAATAACAACCACCTTCGTACCACTTCAGAAGGTCTCATGATCAGGACCGAGCAAACATCCACTGACCAACACCATGAGGAAAAGCTACTGTCAAACGTTATGCTACTGCTGGTGCTATTATCAGGACAGTTTAGTTAACTATCACATATGACAAAGAAAAGAACAAATCATCTTATTTGAAATGCGTAAGCTAATTAATTTTGATATTAAAAGGACTGAATACATTTTCAACAATTGCAGTTGTAGGTCAATGTTTGGTTGATTCACTAATAAATAAATGCACTAATCTCTACACACACTTCATATTACCACACAGACACGTAACAGAAGACTTCACACCGTGTGGAGAGAAACGAATGCCCTCATTAAGATGCTGTACTGGTATTGTGAGTTATGGTATATTCATGTACTTGAATATATTGACTAAACCAGAGGTTGCGCTAGACTTTTTCGCTGTCCGTCATTTTGACGGACAGGATCATAACATTTCCGTCAAAATCCATTATTACCCGTCGGCCTGGTTTGGAAACGGTATAATTTCCTTTTGGGCGGGCATGCATAACACGGCATAACACCGGAGCCCCGCTGCGGGGAAACTTTGGCGCTGTTCTGAGTTTGTTCTAATCTGTCAAAATGACGGAAGGCTTTCAGATTTTTCCGTCATTGTTAAAAAATAATCCGTCATAGACGGAAAATATTCAGTTAACGCGAACTCTGGACTAAACACACAGGACAAGTACTGCTCATTGATTGGCAATATCTTTTTTTCTCCACATTTTTCTGTTACTTCAATAATTATATCCAACCATTTTTAAATGTTTCCTTTGTGCACTGAACATCAGAACTCAACATATTTTAAACATAATATTACTGTCAAAGTACATATAGCAAAACCTTTGTGGAGAAAGCAGAAAGCATGGATAACATTTAACACAGACTCATTGCTGAGACTTGCCATATGTCTGTAACATCACCTGTGCCCATTTAATACTGAATACATCTTGTCGTTGATTAGCGGGGTTTAGAAATGGCAAAAAAGTAAATCTATGAAAAGAGCCGTGTGCAAAAAGTGCCAAGTTGAATTCAATGTGGGTGCAAAGCCGAACATGTGCTTGGGGTTTGGGAGACATGAGCTTAGGTTTTGTTCTGTGAGCCTCACTAATAATCATTATGTGTCACTTGCTCATTTGTGTGAAAAAATTAATCTGCTATCAGTATCTGAAATCAGCTCAAGACTGATCAAATGCTACAAACACACTTTGAATAAATGAAGCAGAGCAGAAATCCTCCTGGTTTGATCCTAATGAGCGCTTCCAATCAGTGGGTGGAGGGTCTCAGAGAGCATCAGCTCTGCCGTCTGATGCACCTGTCTCTAAACACAATGACATTTCAATAAGAGATTGTCTCCCCATTTGCTGCCATCATTTTCATTAGTTGGACTTAATAGCCTCCACAGAAAGTGTTCTTTGAATGCACAGAATAATAATACTCCCTCGACATATTGTAAGTGTCTGGCAGAATTGTCTCACCACAGGACATCAAGTTATCCATCCTTTTTTCCGCCTCGATCACCCTTTTCTCTTGTCCACCCCTACAGAGTAGATGAGTGGTCTGAAGACCCGTAATACACTTTTCCAGGCAATTACGGTGCAGAATTACAGACCACCTGTGGCTAGACTCCATCTAGAAGCCCACTCCCAGAACCACCTTTACAACCTTCCTTTTTATTCCTAACAATTGCCAGAAAAATCAAATCACAATTAGAGAAGTAAAGTGATTGCGCGTTTGTAGCAGATAATATCTCAAGTGCTGTATTACACAGGTTCTGCTGCTATTGTGCTAGCTCCGTTTGTTTACCTCCATGCACTAAGACATTTAATCACAGAACAGGTAGATGTGCATTGTGAATGGAAACTGTTTGTTAACAATTTTCATTCTTTCGACCCTACTTTTAAATAAAATCTAAAAGTATCAAGATATAGTCACACCAATCAATAGTGAGTACAGTCACCGGTTTACAGCTGTGTGTAGAACCCTGACATTGTTGAACTTCCACACACACCCTGCTTCACTATGTAGTCATTTGTATGAAGTTCTAACCTAGCTTTTTTTGGTTTTTCGTAAGGGTTAACCTGTTAACCGATACCTTACGCACATGTTTCTAAGAACGTATAACACTGTAAAAAAAAGAAGAAGCAAAGAACGTCTCAACATGAGGAGATAACCGTTTACTTATCACCACAGGTTTGAAACCATTACTGTCGCTGACCATTTATGTTTCACGGGCTTACTTTTATGTAACTGGTTACATTTGTAGTTATATTTCTTTATCATCATTGTACACAATAAACTGTCTTCTCTCCTTTTTCTTTTAATTTGTTGTCTTCTTCTATTTTAATTATATATTTTGCATTCTTTTTTTCCTTTCTCTTTCCTTTTTTTATGTGTAAATATTACAGTAATATTTAAAGACCTATTATGAACTTTACTATAGGCTCTATGTCTATTAAACATTTTGAATAGTATCCTGATGGCAGTGCTCGTTATTAACCAATACTGCAGCAGCGATGAGGTCATCCAGGCTCCTGATTGGCTGAAGAACATCATGTTCCACAGTGGAGGGGCATCATTAAAATTAAACAGGAAATGTTGTATTCCTCTAAAAACCAGCTGAACTCAAGTTGACATAGCAACGCTGACTGTGCCGCTGAAAGGATGGTAAGTCTCTATTTCTCTCCTCTCTGCAGGAGCAGTGACTTCCTGTTGGCCTCACATTCCATCTATCCCCAAACAACTGTTCCTCAGAGGCCCGAGCCACGAGAGCTTGTTGGTAAAATGATCAGGCACTTGACTAAAAAAAGTCAATTAGTCTAAGTACAACTGGAAACAGATTCCTTAGAGTTTAAAAGGCCCACATCAATAAAGAAGGTCACTCTCACTGAGGGTCTGCCTGATGAAGAGCAGCTAATCCAAAACATGCTTTTAGCTGCTCTCACGGGAGAGCAGTCACCAGAGCGGCAACTTTACCTGGACCTAACCCTACGCTTATCCCTACCGTTTCTGTTATCACTATTGTATTCACTTCCAGTTCACCTGACCCTTCAACTCCCCTCCTGTGTGTCTGTCAGCAGGGTGCAGTGTAGAGCGCTGTGTTGTGTTTGTGTACCAGGAGCACATGTGAGGCGTGTTGCCCTGCCCTGATTTCCATTGCACATTACAAATATTGCAGCGAGCATTTGCTGCGTCAAGATTTGAAGTGAAGCTACACCTGCGTGTGCTTTCTGTGGCTTGATCACTTCGATTAAAAAAGACATTCTACAAGTTTACCTTCATCTGGCTCGAATGCCTTACAGCTTTAAAGTGCAGCGATGCTATAATCCAGCAAACTGTATATAGTTTAAATATTGTTAATGTTCAGAAAATTGTAAAGAAAGCTGCAGAGAATCTTTGGAAATCAGAGAAGATAATAGAAGGCTGTTTCAGAGGACAGTGGTGTCTAAGTCTGATGAAACACAGACAGAAACAAAGCGGTTCCCTACAATAGCAGCAGAGGAGCTCATTAAATTCACTGAGAGGCACAAACACAACACACTATCAAAGAGCCACATTCATAAAGGAAGAGTTTGAGCAGAGAATGTGCCGTTTCTTCTTCCCATGTGAGGTCCCATTCATCTGTGCCACGCAAAGAGAGACTCCCCCCCACACACTCCTCTCTCCCCGGCCCACTGCATCCACTTGGCCATCAGCCCAGACACACAGTGCAGAGAACCAGCCTGACAACAGCTGCAGCCACCAACACACAGCATGTCACTTCTGAACACACACAGACCTGCACACACACTGTGAGGTAGATGACACGGGCCTTTGAGGATGAATGGAAACACATTTCTAAAATGAAGCTACAATTAGAGCTTTCAGATACTCAACACCTTATGTTTAAACATGTTTTTGCTAAATGTCATATTGTCGTGCTGGATGAAGCATCTCAAACAGGTTATGCTTGAACACATAGTGATGTTACTGTGCTACTTTCAGAGGCTGCCGGACACAGATGTACAGTAATAATGACTATGCTAGAACGAGTTCTCTGGCTCGACAGAGGTCAAATAATAGCAGTATATAGAACTTTATTATCAGAAGCATTTCTGCCATTTTAA